GGGAGCTAAGGCCCAGAACAGCCTGTCCCTCTCCAGTTGCTGGATGGGGCTCCAAGAAGGCATTGGTAGCCTTTGAGGGTGTGGCGGGAGGGACACCAGCCCAGCTTCAGACAAACACTCTGCGGAATTCTTCCCCGCCGGCCGGCCGGTCACGGCTCTCCGCGGGGCCAGAACCAAAGCTGCTGAGCTGGGAGCGGACGACCTTGCACAGGCGAGAGGACAGCTGGGCCGCCTCAGCCTCGGAAGGGTAGGGGGTTGGGTGGGGCTCAGCTGGGGAGGAGGGGTAATGAATGATTGCCCTGCCCTGCCTCTCAGCACTCCTTCCCCGTGGCTGTCAGGAGGAGGCCGTGTGGAGGTTGCGGGGAGGGGACTGGAGCCTCCCCCCCTTCCTAGCTGGCGGACCGGGTGGCTCAGAAGGCAGGGCTGGGAGAAGGAGGATGTGGAGCTGGAGCCCCAGGGAGCTCCTTGCCCTCCTCTCACTGTCCTTCCCCTGCAGGAGCAAAGCCACAGCAAGGACGGAGTGTGAGGGGCCCCGGGGACGGGCTGGCCAGGTTGTCACGTTGGGGCAGGGTGTGAGGGACATCCTGCCCATGACACTCTCTGGGCCAAGAACACCCATTTTTAACAAGTGAAGGGACATTGTGTTCAGACAGTTAAGGAACGGCGATCCCAGGAGTGGCATTCGGTAATGTAGCCAATGTGAAGGACACGGGAGTTCTGGAGGGCCCTGCGGGGGGGGGGGGGGGGGGGGGGGGGTCACAGGCCAGGGCGGGGTGGAAGGGCAGGCGGAGGAGGCTGGCAGAGCAGCTCTTTACCAACCAGTAAGGAAGAAGCTCCACATTTCAGTAACTGGCGTGGCAATGCTACATAGCCACCCTGGCCACCTTCATTCTCCGGAGACAAAGGAATCCATCAGTTTGAGGATGAGATGGTCCAAGTTAGCGTAGAAAATCAACATGAAGCTTCCCCACGAAGTTCCCCTGAGAGATATTTATATTCACCACACACACACATTTACACACACATTTACATACATGTACACACTACATACATTGCACATGCATAGGCACACACATAAATTACAGGCATGTACACACATAGACATGCCTACACTTACACATACTACACATGCAACAAACTCATAACACAAATATACATACACATTACACGCGTGTACAAATTTACACTCATACACAATAGACATGTACGCACATAGACACATGCACACACCACAACACAGACACATCACATGCAATACACATACACACATTTACACACCACGACACTCATGCACACACATTTACACACACGTCACACAGACACACTAGGCATAGGCACATACTTCACAAACAACACACACACACAGGCACAGACACACAAACTACACAATGCACACAACACACAGACACACACTCAGGCCTCACACACACATACGCACATTTATACATGCTCACATTCACATACGCACACAGAGATGTACGCATAAACACATATATGCACCTAGACACGTGTACACGTGCACACAATGAGCCGTTGCCCTGACTAAAGAGTACACAGGCCCTCCCGCCCTTCCCTGCTGCCTTCGGCTTCCCCTCTCCTGTTATTGAGGAAAGGGAGGCAGAGGCCCAGGGCCGGGGTTAGGAGCTGCTACAGTGAGACTCAGGGAAGGACATCCATGTGGGGTGGGAGAGGGAGACCCGGGTCTCATTCGTGATTTCCAGCCCTTGGCCCAGGTTGTCACGTTGGGACGGGGTGAGGGGCAGATGCCCTCTGGGCCAAGAACCCCGTGTTAACACTTGGAGGGGCACTGTGTTCAGACAGTAAAGGAGCGGCAATCCCAGGACTGGCATTCGGTAATGTAGCCAATGTGAAGGGCACGGGAGTGGACTCCCTGCAGCCAGCTCTGTGCTGTCAGCCTGAGGGGCGGGCCCAGGTGGTGTGGCCTTCCCCTATGGGGGAAGCAGAGAAGGAAATGCATTTAGGCCCCTAGGGTGGGGAGGGGGTGAGCACAGGCAGAGTTAAGCAAGAAAGAGCAGCACAGGTTTTCCGAGCATCTTCAGAGGTCTAAGCTCGCTGGCTTCAGTTTGGAAATGACAGTGGCACAGGAGGAGGGGCGGGGCCAGGGCGAAGAGGAGAGAGAGCGAGTGCGAGTGTGACGCTGGCAGCTGGCGGGCACCCCCCCCCCCCCCCCCGCCCCAGCCTGCACCCGGTGTTGGGTCGGTGGTCAGCACATGGAAAGGAGGCCGCGACCTCCGAGGGCTCCTCACTTGCACTTGCCCAGAGGGGCCACCAGGCCTGACTCTCTGGTGCCTCTTCTCTGTGTGCGAAGCAGTGGGGACCACAGAGGGACTCTGGCTGGCGGGCAGAGGTTGGCTGGGGAGCGGATGTTTTCCCAGGAATGCCTGGGGGCGCTCCAGGAAGCGGGCACTTCGGGGTTGCTGGAAATGTAAGCCTGGCTGGTTTTTAATTGGGACAGAATGCCGGTGCAGATAAAGTGCCTTGAAAATAATGATGTGATCCAGAGGGGGAGGAGGAGAGAGAAAGGAAGCCAAACCTCTCCCACCTTCTCCTCCTCTGACCGCAGAAACCCTCCCTGGAGTGGGGACCGCGTTGGCTTGGAATTTGCTGGGGGGAGAAGGAAGCGAGAGGGCGGGGTCAGAGGCCGCTCTACCGCCCACTCACCTCGCCGACCGGCCACCCTCTATCTAATGAGCTGTGCTGCCAGAAGCCAGCGCCGTCTGAGGATGAGGAGGCCTGGCCAGGGCTAATTCTCATCAGCAGATTCTCGGGAGCCATGGAAATGAAGGCCTGGCGTAGGGCAGATAACCGAGGTGGCCAGGGGCTGCAGGGAGCTGAGTGTCTTTCTCCAGTTGTTGAATATTTATCACAGGGGAGCTCTGGGCGTCCAGCCTGTGTGTGTGTGTGTGTGTGTGCAAGCATGCGTGCCTGCAAGGGGCTGTGAAGACCCAGGTTGCATGTGCTGCTTTTGACTGTGTAGTGCCAGGCATCATTTCGTACAGAGGCCGGCTCTTGGGGGGGCGGGGGTGAGACACCTGGAGAGGGACCAGGACACTTGTCCCTGCAGTGAGGCTGTCACGAGGACTCGGAGGCTGCGAGCGTCTCTGGAGCTGCGGAAAAGCCCCAGGAGATGGAGAGACACGTGCCTGCCAAGCAGAGAGGACCTGCCTCCCCTCTCTGTCGCTTATTGGTCTTGGCACTTCTGGAATGCCAGCCCCGCGTGCCCAGCCTGCTGGCGTCTGAGACCGTGTGATGTCATTTTCTACCCGGCTCCTGGCATACTTCTCTGTTTTTTAAGCAGAATGATCATAACCGTGATATCTTATGCACAAAACATTGCACGTTTTGGAAGCGTGCAGCTCTCATTTTATAGGATTAGAAGGTGTCTCATTTTCACGCGAGAAGTCAAATCAGAGTGCTAATTCACACTGGATCTTGGACCGAAAGCCTGGTTTAGCCAATTTTCTTTCCACGGATGGCACTGCCCCGGAGTCCACCTTCATAGGTACAGAGGCCAAGGTGAACATCTAGGGGGCAGCCCAGGAGTTTTGGGGTGCTCCTGCCTCCACCCCCATACCTACTTTGCTGCCTTTCCCCGGTGGCATTGGGGGGTCCATTTGGAGGTGTAGAACCACTTGTCCTTGAGAAATGGAGGCCCTTTGCTCCCCCAGAAGAAAGGGCAGAGGAGAGAGAAATGGCGGCCTCCCCCGTCTCCTTTCGTGTTCAGCACCTGCTAAGCTCCTCCTGCTGACTAACCTGCCGTCTGTGCAATTCCGTGGCAAAGGAAAAGCACCCCGGCTAGACATTGTGGGTGCCACGTGGACCTCAGAGCTCTCAACAGGCCGGGCAAACCCTTGAGCCTTCCTTCCTATTCCCCGTGCTGTTCTTACTGGGAGAAGTAACTCAACCTGCAACTTGAGCAGAGGCTGTGGGAGGCCCCTGAGCTCAGCCCGAAAGGAAAAGGGGGTATTTTCGCTTCTAGAGGAAGAAAAACTCATTTTCCCCATGCACCTCCGCCCCCTCCTCCTGAGCCGAGGAGCTTAATTCTCTTCCCCTCCTAATGAAGATGGATCCGAGCCAGGCTGGATAGTCAAGGGGGAGCCAGGCAGGGGAGCCGAATGAGGGAACGAGGGGGCAGAAGCAGCTCCTCTCGTGGAGAGGAAGTAATTAATTTTAAGAGAGAGCAGAGATAGGGAAGCCCTTGGTGATAGAATGTCAAACCCCACATGCAGGTGGATAAAAATGAAACTGGAGCAACTGGAGTTTCTTTTGTTCATTCACTGGCTCATTCATTCAGCAGACGCCGAGCTCCTGCCGTGCACGGGCAGATGCCTCAGGAGCACAACGAAGCGTCCCCCCTCTCCACCCCCCTCAATCCCCCCCCCCCCCCCCCCGTCTTCTTGCCCATAGCGGGGCACAGGGAGCTGGTGCGAGGGTGTGGCATCTGGGACCCAAAGCCTCTTGCCATTAGGACAAAGCATTTGCAAACGCACCGCCCAATGTCTGAGCACACTGGCCTTTGGAGTTCAGGATTAGTTGCTTCAGTATCAGCAGCTGAGGCCCCAGCTCATTCCCTCGTGGGTTAAACAATAACGCTGTCCCTTTGCTTTTCTGGTCACGGATTGCGTCGTTCTCCGACCGCGTTCTACCCTCGGTCCAAAAATTCGATTAGCCCCTCCCTTTCGGGGTCTTTCGTGACGTCACAGGCTTGCCGTAAACAACAGGCCATGACGTCCACAGAATCCCTGGTGCTGCTCAAAGGACCTGTGTCAGTCAGAAAGGATTCTGTCACCCGAAGACAAACATGGAATAATCTGGAAAGCCAGAGGACCTGGAGATCGGTACCAGCAGGGACATCTCGGCAGTACAAGACAACAGAGGGTCTGGAGCCTTCTTTGCTGGAACCCTTTACAAGCAAGCAAGGCACTGAGGAGACTGGAGAGCCAGCGGGCGTGCCTGGAGGCGGGGGTGGAGGAAGTGACCTTCAGAGGCCCTTGCAGCCCCAGGCCCTACCCCACGGAGGATGTCCGGAGAAGGGGAAACTGGACCATCATCGGCGGCGAGGAGAGTTCAGGGGAGTGAACGGCACTGCAGCTCTCCTTGCCCTTGAGCAGATCTGACGGTGCCAGCTGGAGGTCATCTCATCGCATCTGGAAGATTTTCAGAAACCAACACGCAGTGACCCCCAGCCCCTCTGCTGCCCTCTTCCTCACGCGCTCTGGGAAGAAGCCTTCCTCCCGTGTCTCCTGAGCAAAGAAGCTGGTGTTTGCTCCCAGCCCAGCACCCGCTCCACGTGCTCCTCTGCCGGACCACCCCACGCCGAGAGCAAGCGAGCTGGCGCTGTGTCCGAAGGGAGCGCGCGGGGGACTTGGCAAAGCTTCGCTCGGTCTGCTCCTGTCCAGACAGAAGGAGGCTGGGCAGGCTGGGAGAGGAGAGAAGGGACTGAGCCACCCCGGCGCCTGGGCAGCAATAGCACACGAATCCGGAGCTGCATTTAACCCCTGAGCCCACAGGATCGGAGCGTCTGGGCTGGGAGGCGGCAGCAGGGAGGACCGCCTTCCCCCAGGCTGGCTGGCTGCATTTCTGCTGTGCAGACAGGCAGCCCCAGACTCCTCCACCTGCCCAGCTGCAATGTGTCCTTAGCTCAGGGAGGTCTGACTGGCTGGAAGTTGCACACCTGCTCCCCATGCCTATCTCCATCTCGGCGTCTCCTCCTGGGGGACCTGGACTGGGAGGAGCAGCCCTGCTCGCCTTACTCTGCCGGGAGCACTCTGAGGGTCTGGGTGCTGAGGAGCCACAGGCCCCTAGAGCACCTGGGCGCCCTTCCCACCACCTGGGGAGAGCCCGCCCCTTTCCCTCGTGCTAGAGCTGGGGGGGGGGGGGGGGGGGGAGCAGCAGTGTCTGGAGCTCGGCCAGGGACCGGAGGACTTACTGCTCAGAGGATGGTAGGAGCAGGGTGGCTGGGAGGTCCTCCGAGGCTGCTGAGCGGGGACGGAGCTGCCAAAACGATGCTGAAGTTCCGGGCCGATCGCCGGGTCAGGTAGGGATCTCTTCAGTGGACATAAGCGGAGCGAAGTGAGAGCAGGCGGTGTTGGCGGCTCCTCGGGCCCGGGCTTCAGAGTGTGGGGTCCGCCGACCCGCCCTGGAGGCAGGAGACAGTTAGGTCACAGTGGCTGCTGCATTGCAGTGCTTGCCAAGGGGAAGCTGTGCTGGAACTGGTGGTGCCGGGCTGGAGAGAGGACGTCATTTGTAGGGGCTGCTGGGTAGAGAGTCTAGGGCAGGGAGGAATTCGCCGTGCCCTGAAAACAGTGCCAGCTGACAGCAGACTGTGTGCGTCTGCACGTGTGTGGTGTGTGTGTGTGTGTGTGTGTGTGTACACGAGTGCCTGCAGGAAAGGTGTCAGCAGCGTTAGCAAAGGAGCGTGTAAAGCACAGGGGACTGGGGTGGGGACCGGTGCTCTGTGTCACATGGAAAAGCAGAGACCTTGGCACCTGAAGGACCTTCGTTGTCAGACTGCCCACCCCCTGGGCCCTGAGGGGCAGAGCCAAGGATGAGGGTGACTGAAAACAGCTACCCATCCTTGCAAAGGTCCCCTGTGGGTTAGCTGAGGAGAGCATCCTGGTTGTACCTGGCAGGGAGGAAGGAAGAGAGTTTGAGAAGCAGGAGCAGGTGATCAATATACTAACGTTAGAACCCAGGCCAGATGGACACTGGCAGGACAGGGTCCTGGCCAGCAAGCCCAGGCTGCGAAACCCAGATTTCCCGTAGGCCAGTGGTCGGCAAACTCATTAGTCAACAGAGCTAAATATCAACAGCACAACAATTGAAATTTCTTTTGAGAGCCAAATTTTTTAAACTTAAACTTCTTCTGACACCACTTCTTCAAAATAGACTCGCCCAGGCCGTGGTGTTTTGTGGAAAAGCCACACTCAAGGGGCCAAAGAGCCGCATATGGCTCTCGAGCCGCAGTTTGCCCCAGTTTGCCGACCACGGCCCTAGGCTATCATGGCTGTGCTCCCAGCTACTAAATGCCTTGGAATTTGATCTCAACATGGTTGGTTTGGAAGCTGAAAAAACACCCTTTGATATTATCTTTAGCTTCAACAGACAGCCTGGGGACTGGGATGTGTCCTGGGGCTATTGAAAGGGTCTCCAGAAGGTTCTTTTACTTCTCTCGTGCAGCTGAAGGGACCAGGCTCAGGTCTCTTTCCGGTGGCACCAGCTGACCAGCTGGCCCCCGCTGTGGGGGTGCTAGTGTGGCCGGTGTGAGGACCCACAGCCTCGATACAACCTCAGCAGGCTCTGTCCGGCTGTGTCTCCCCAGGGCTGGGGAGGAGGACTCCGCACCCTTCCAGCCCTCACTGGCTGCATGCTTGAGTCTCCTATAACTTTCTTGCCAGGTGGTCCCCTGTGTGGCGAATCCATCTCAAATGCCTGCCTTCTGTGGCTTTGACCCACTGTACCAGCTCCCTCCACATTCATCTCCTCCCCCATCTCTCCAAAGAGCCACCAGGGAACTGGCCTGGCATTCAGTCAGCTGGGCGGCACGGCAGGACTTTCCAAAGGAAAGGAGCCTCCACAATATTGCTCCACAGACCCCACCCTGGCCCATGCCCCCTGCTTCCTGCCACACATCCCTTCATTCGATCTGACTTTTGAGCCAGCACTTAACCTTTTTGTGGGACTCGCCTGAGGTCTCGGTGATACCCATAGTGCTTAGCCTGGGAGACCCTGGTCTGAGTGTGTGTGTGTGTGTTGGGGGCGGGGGGGGGGGGGGGGGAGACGGGGGAAGGGAGGTCCCAGCCCAGGCTCAGGAATGGCGTTTCTGGCTCTCTCGCATTTCTCCTAAGAAGATGGAATACAGAGCAGCAGGGGAGGGAGTCCAAGGTCATGAGAGGATTGTCTCAGCAGAAATGAGTGAGCAGTTTTTATGTGGAGCACTGGCGGGCCTTGTCCCTGGGAGGGGACATACCACACATGAAATCCTGGCTGTTGGAGTCCCCTCCCTGCCTGCTCCACACCACAGGTTACGGGGGGCTCACTTCCAGCCTCAGGGGTGTCTGGTAAGTAGTGAACACTGACCAGAGAAAGGTGTCTTCCCCCAACCTGACTGTGCTGCTTTGTCCACAGCCTGGCCTTCCATTTGCTTCCGTCTCACCTCAGGATCCCACTGGAGGACAGAGGGACCAGCTCCCATGTGGTCGCAGTCCCGTCACTGTTAATCCTTTGCAGTGCCTCTGCTTTCCTCGTCTTAACCACAACTTCTCTCTTTTGCTTCCACAGCCACAATGAAAGACGGAACACCTTTCTACACCCAGTGACTGGCCAGGTCCCAGAAGAAAACAAAAAATTTGACTTGAAAACGTAGGTTTGCCCCACTCCCTGGCTGCCCTTTCCATCTTTAGCCACCTCCCCCCACACTTCACCTGGAGCAGGGAGGAAGGGGGAAAAGAGAGCAAAGGGACTTAGGGCCACTCCCCTCAGTTCTGAGGATGGACACTGCTGAGATCCTTTGGATTGACTCCCTCGTCCACTTTCCCCAAAACGTAGCAGGTCCTGGGTTGGTGCCTCTCACAGGCTGAGCTAGAGGAGCGAGACAGGTCGGAGTTGGGCACACACCCAGGGGCCTCTGAGGGGAGAGGGGAGGGAATCAGGTACAGCCATAGAGCCAAATGCCAATTCCACTTGCTCTGCATCTTGGCTCAGTGAGGGGAAGAAAAAAGATAATTAAATGACTCTCATAGTGCACTGGGCTATTGTGTCTTTTAAATTAAAAGGGAAAGGAGTTCCAGAGTCCTAGAGTTGAGGTTTTTTTTTTGTTTTGTTTTGTTTTTAAATAAATTCACAGGAAAAAAAGAGGAGACACTGCAGGATTGCTGGCAGATAGTCTCAGAAGAGCTGAGGGAGTAGCTGCGATGACCTCTTGATAGCACTGAGGGATCTAATTTTGTGCTGGTGTTGGAACAGGGGGTGGCAGGGTGGGACAGAGATGGAGGTTTCCATTGTTTCTCGGTTCTGAATAGTCTCTTTCTTCTCTTCTGGTCAACCTGAAATCAGATCGGCCTTGGACATGTCCAATAAAGCAGGTGGGAAACGCCCGGCTACCACCAACAGTGACATTTCCAACCACAACATGGTGTCCGAGGTCCCTCCAGAGCGGCCCAGCGTCCGGGTGAGTCCAGCCTCCAAGGAAGGCTGTCGGGCAGGAATCCTGGGAAACGCAATAGCCTGTCCAGCTCTGTCTGCCGGCTCCAGTGAGCAGGTGAGGTGCTCGGACCAGAGCCTCACAGAAAACCCGCATCTGCACCAGGGGCTCTCCACCTCGGCACCGTTAGCATTTTGTGTTGGGTAATGCTTTGCACTGTGGGGTGATTCATTATAGGATGTCGAGCAGCATCCTTGGCCTCTACCCACCAGAGGCCAGTAGCACTCACCATGTGACAACCAAAAATGTCTCTAGACATTGTCACGTGACCCCTGTGGAACAAAGTTGCCCCACCCTCATTGAGAACCACTGATAACTCCTGAAGGACATGGCAGTGGAGAGCTCAGAAAGGGAGGAGGAAGGAAGAGGGTCTCCGGAGGAAGAAGTAATCCAGAGAAGAATGTTGCTGAGAGGTCAATGTGATGAGATCTTACTTGGATGAAAACAACCATGGGGCTTAGCAACACTATGGTAACCGGACACTTGACTAGGGCAGTTCCAGTGGTGTGATGAAGGTGGAAGAGGAGGTGGAAGGGGAGATGGAAAAACACTGAAGAGTAGACACTGTTCTTCTAAGAAACTTACTAGACAATCAGTGGTGGTCTAGTCATGCAATGGAGTACTCTCCAAAAATTTAACAGACTAGATTTGTATATATACTAATAAAAAAGTAATATGCTAATTAGACTGGGTTGACTGGCCATCTTCCAGACATCAGACTTCCTTCTGGACAAAGCCATGGTGGTGCCAGCTGAGGGGTGATCAGGCCGGCAAGGGAGAGCAGTTGGGGGTGAGATTAAACCGGCAGATGAGGACAGCTGAGGGTGAGATCAGGCCGGCAGGAGAGGGCAGTTGGGGGCAAGATCAGGCCGGCACGGGAGAGCAGTTAGGGGTGATCAGTCAGGCAGGCCGGCTCGGAACGATGCTCTGGAAGCTGATGGAGATGAGGACTAAACAGTGGAGATCCGTGGTGCCTCAGGAGAGAGTGGATGCCAGGATGTGGGAGAAGGATGATATCCACGTGGCAGTGAGGAGCTAGAACCCTCGTGTCCGTGTTCCCAGCCCCGTGGTGTGTTGGACACTGAGAATGCACATGACTCTGAGAGGATGGTGGTACAGGCAAGGTACACGCAGCTGAGTGGGTTCCAGAAAGCACAATGAGAGAGGAAAGGAGTAAGGACAGTAGCAGAAGGGTAGGCCAGGAGTGAAATGAGAAATCTTACTTTCTTCCCAAGGAAACCCCAAAAGGCCCGCCACGGTCAGACAGGCAGGATTATTATCTGAGCCCGATTTTGGAAATAATAAAAAAAAAAAGTCAGACTTGATAACACATCCATGATTCACACGTGGGCCTCCCAGCATGAGGGCGCCTCGGGCTACCCCAGGGCGGTATAACCCAGAGCCGTCCAGCTGCTCCCCTGGCCGGTGGCAAGGGAAGCAGGAGAGGGAAGAAGCCAAGCCAGCTTCTCTCTGCCTCCCCAGGCCACCCGGACCTCCCGCAAGGCCATCGCCTTTGGCAAGCGCTCACACTCCATGAAGCGGAACCTCAACACGCCTGTCACCAAGGCGGGCTGGCTCTTCAAGCAGGTGAGGCCCCTCTGCCTTCTGCCCCGTGCCCAGGGCTCTGTCTCCCCTTTAGCACTGTGACTCCTCCGGGCTCACCATAGTCCGCGTCTGTTTTGGTACGTCCTCCCATTCCTCATTTGGTATAGCTCTGTGAATAAATCTGCGGATGTTATTATGAAAGCTCAGAGAAGTCAAGTATCTTCCCAAAAATCACACAGGAAAAAATTGGTGTCATATTTGGGAATGCAGCTAGATTTCCTGATGGGCGGATACAATGATTTTGAATTGTGCTAGGTCACCCCCCCTTGGGAGCAGCCTGCGGGCTTCTCCTCAGCTGGTCCTCTTGCTGTGGCAGGGATGGTGTCTCTTTAAGTCTCTGTCCAGCAGTTCTCCCCATTGTCCTTGCCACTGCCCCTGCCTGCCCTCTGCTCACTCATTCTGGCTCATTTCTTGCCCTTTTTATCTCCAGAGGGGGCGGAGGGGGAAGGAGAAGGGAAGCCCCAAGGCCCAAGATGACAGAACTCAAGGTCACAGGCAATGACCCCATGTCAGGTGCCTGCATCCGGGGTCTCGAGGGGGTTGCTGCTACTTGTCAGTGGCCGAGCTGCAACCAGAGGCGAGATGTCCTTAAAGTTAGTACTGTGCTCCTCCTGTGACCTCCTCTCCTCCATGCCCCGCTCACAGCCCCTCCGTCTGTCTCTCCCCATGTGCCCCGCAGGCCAGCTCCGGGGTCAAGCAGTGGAACAAGCGCTGGTTCGTCCTGGTGGACCGCTGCCTCTTCTACTACAAAGGTGAGCCTTCCCCAGGCCTGCGGGGGCGAGGGCCCACCATCCTTCCATTCTGCCAGACCGCTACCAGCAGGACACCTACTGGCCGGAGCGTGTATGCTGCTCTGTCTCCTGTCCCGTGGGCCGAGCGATCCGGTCCAGGAAGGCAGCGGGTCTTGTCCACTGTGTTCAGCACAGGCTTAGCAGGTGCTCCGTCCACGAGGAATAGATGCATAGCTCCAGCTTCTGCCCTCTTGGTCCACCCAGCACTCACTCCTGACCCTCTCCAAAGCGGAGGAGGGCAAAGATCTGACAGCATGGGTGCAGCAACCTCGAGGAAGGTGTTTTTAAAAAGAACACAGCAACCCTGTCTCAGGGGGAGCACAGAGGGAGCGAGCAGGGTGGTGACGGCGTGGTCCTGTCCCCCTGGCGCAGGGCACTGGGTAGAGGAGGGTGAGATGTCTTTGCAGCAGAAGGGGCTGTGCCCCTTTCCTCCACGCCCCTCTGGGCCCCTCCGCACCACTCCACGCCCTCCATACCCGGGAATGGCAGAGCCCAGATCCTCTGGGCCTTCCTGGAGCAACTCAGTGAATCATTAACTTTGGCAAACAAAGGCTGTACCCAGTGACACGCTCCCTCCCCAGTGCTGCCATTCCTGTGCCCCGAATTGCTGCCACCTGAGCTCTGAGGAGAGAGCAGGACGGGGCTGCGTATACAGGTCGGGTCACAGAAGAAACCAGAAGGGTGGGGCAGAGGAATCTGCCCAGGCTGGGCCTCCAGGACACAGTGTGAACACGCTGGAGAGACTCTGGGCCTGGCCTGAGAGAAGAACCTTAAACATCTGTGCATGTCCAAGGGCACTGCTCTGGGGGCCCCTGTCCACTGAGGTGCTCTCAGGAGACCCCCTGAATGCAGGCCTGGGCAGTACCAGGCAGAGCCATCTCCTCCAGGGGCTGCTTTCCTGGTCTCCAGGCCTGGTCCCTCCTGCTCCTCTGGCTTAGCCCTCCTCCGGATACCACGCTGAGGTCTGCGCAGGAGGCTGGACGCTGTGCCAGTGAGGAGTGAGAGGAGAGGGGGAACTAGTGGAGGTTATGAGCCCTAAGGGATTTCTCCTGAACTCTCTCTGGGGAGGCTGCAGCATCTCCAGCCCAGGGCATAGGAGCTATTCTGGGCAAGTGGGGAGTGTCTTGCCATGGCCTCCTAGCTCCTCTCCCCACCCCCCCGCCCCCATCCTGTCCCACAGAACACCCCACCCTCCGGGCCTCCTGCTGACAGCTGGGTGCCCGACTAGCTAATCTGTCAGGCTCCTCTGGAGATCCAGGATGAATTATGTAACAGCATGGTGGTTAGCCTGATGCAGGGACCAGAGGGCCAGGAGGCCTTGCAGGGGCAGGAGAGCCCTGAGACACAGATGTAGAGAGTGTGCATGTGCGTGTGCATCGGGAGGGGACAAAGCAAGCTGCTGGGTGCTGGCGGGAACCTTAGATACAGTTCCCCAGAGGATACAGACCACAGAGGGCACCGTCCACGCCCCCACACCCCATCCCGCCATCCTGCTGTGTATGTGAGACGCTGGAATAGTCTGGTGCTGGGCAGGCACTGTGCCCGGTGGAGGGGTTAAGAATGACAGCGTGGGGGTCAGACTCCCGGGGTTCAAAGAGCAGCCCGCCACTTCCTACTTAAGTCACATTGGACAAACTGCTTAACCTCTCTGCGTCTCAGAAAACGGGGATAACAGCAGCCACTGTTCACGGGACTGTTGAGAGGGTTCAGTCCAGGAAGGCATTTCCCTGGGGACAGTGTCTGACGTAGAACAAGGAGCTCTATTGGTTTGCCTGCTTGTGCACTAGAATGTCAGCTCCCCGAGGGTGGGGCTGCTGCCCTGTCATTCACCTCCAGCCACGCCGAGAGCACGTCCCCAGCCACCACACACCCCAGTGCCTGATCCAAGAGCATCCTCCTGGAGGTGCGGTGTGCAGAGCACAGTCTGTGCGGGTGTGGGTGGCCCTGCGTGCCTACTGCAGATGAGCAACAACCGTGCGTCTCAGTTTATTGTAACAGGGCTGACGGGCTCCTGTCTCACCCCTGCACACGCACACAGGCACGCACACACACATACACACACATGCATACACACGCATACACACACACACACACACATCTCACCTGCCTGTTTCCTGACAGATGAGAAGGAGGAGAGCATCCTGGGCAGCATTCCCCTCCTGAGCTTCCGGGTGGCTGCGGTGCAGCCCTCGGACAACATCAGCCGAAAACACACCTTTAAGGTCAGTTGGCCGGAAATCCCTCTCCCAGGTCAGATGGGGGCGGGGTGAGGGTGGGGGGGCTGTTCTCCTAGAGCACAGGGGGGTGGAGAAGGGTCCAAGCCACCTTCTGAGGAGTCGGAGTGGTAGTGAGGGAGCGAGTGGGCAGTGCCCTGGGCTCCATGCGGGCTTCCTGAGGCTAAGCAGAGGCCGTGCGGGACCCCGTCCTCTGTCCCGGGGGTTGGGTGGGTGACCTCCCCAGGGCAGGCCAGTAGAGGGGTGCTTCAGTGGCACCCCAGTTTTTTCCTGGGAGGCTGGAGGAGCGGAGGAGCTCTGTTAGGATAAATAGCGATGCATGTAGCCCATTGTTTTCTGAGCCTGGGGACCCTCTGCCCGGCGGCCAGGCACCTGGCAGCGAGGCAGGGCATGGGCTGGAGGGAGGCTGAGGTTCTTTCTGGAAAGTCTTCCTTCCCACCGTGGGCCCAGGAAACCAGATCTACAGCAAACTGACTGGCATTTCAGTCTTTAGAGGAAATTGGGGGTTGCATTTCATTATAATCAAGAGCAGCAAACCTCATGGAGGCAGTTGGAGAGAGTGAGTGTGCTCAGCTGCCTGCTCAGCACGCTCCCCAGAGCCCCCTGGGGTCCAGCCCCTCAGAGGCTGCAGCTGGCTCCTCCGAGGCAGAGCTTGTTCACATTTAAAAATGCACGACCTGGTAAACACGATTTTGGTATTTTATGATGACAAGGCTCTAGATTCCTTTCCCTTTTCCAAACATGAAATTGTGCTGCCGCCCGTGTGTTTTCTCAGCACCAAGCCCCCTCTCCCAGTGCAGAATTGCTGCCCAAGGCCCTGCAGCCCTAAAGCTGAGCTGGCAGGTATGGGGTCACCTGCAGGTCACCCCAGGTCAGGGCCCGAGCCTCCGAGTCCGCCTCTTCCTGTCCCTCCCCGAAAGGCGAGAGGCGGTGGGCCGCATACACAGGTGTTGCTCTGGGGACAAGGAGGGGCTTCCCTGCACATAATTAGTTTCCAGCCCCCCGGGGTCCTGGCTGCCGGAGGTGTGAACTGAATGAACAATTAATAAAGCTCGGGCTCCGGGGAGCCGGCTCTCGCTGTGGAAACAGGGCCGAGCTGTTGAGCCAACAGCAGACACGCACGCCCACACAGGCAGACAGCCTGTCACCCGCCCGTGTGACAGACACGTGTGCAGACGCGTGCTGGAGCTCACCCGGCCTCGGAGGAATACCGATGGCTGGCACCCCCACCACACACCCCAGATCTCACTGCTGTGCCTTCACCGCCCTCCTCCCTCCCTGTCCCCCAAGGAGCTCGTGCCTCTTTAAACCAACGGGAGAGCAGTGCTCCGTGGCCACAGAGGGCTCCAACCCCGGCTGTTCAGAGGCCCCTCCCCAGGGGAGGGAGGGCTGCGGGCACAGATGGAGGCTTGTCCCGCTGTGGCCACCGAGCGAAACTCTTGGGTGGCTGATAATGAGCTTGACTGTCCCTGCCTGGCCCCCTGCTGAAGGCGGGACCTCTTCCTGCCCCAGCCCCGGGGAGGAGTTGTGGGGGGGGGGGGCCCTTGGTGGACCTCACCCTACTGGGGCGCCTCCCTCCATTCTCTGGTCCCCCTTTCTGGCTCCAGGTGGGTGTTCCTCCCACTGCCCTTCAGCCGCCCTGCCTTCCCCAGGCCCTCTGCCCCGCTCCCTGTCGCCAGCAGCTGTTCCCTGGCCCTTGCTCCCTCCTCGTTTCCCCGGGGGCATGTCCTGTCTTCCAGCTTGACCTTGACTCTTCAAGTGCAAAGAGTGTGCCTTTGCCTTCCCTGCACCTGGTGCCCGAGCAGCGCTCTGCTCTCGGAGGGTCACAAGATGCTGAGCGTTGAGCTCACTCGCTGCCCACTCCTACCAGCCCCGGGACACACCCAGGGTCCCGCCCGCGTCCCTCCTCTGCGACACCCCTGTGTTTTCTACTGCAGAGGGCTCGCCTCGGCCCTGGTCACCAAGTCCCTGTGTAGTTCAACCCCCAGACACCTCCTCACAGCTTCGCTGCCTTTTCCTCAGCACCTCCCTGCCTCTGCGATGTGCTGGCCCTGCTGAGGGTGGGGACGGGGAGGGTCCAGGGGCAGGAGGACCAGCCCTGCCCTCACTGGGTACAGGGATTTGCCCTCACTGGGTACAGAGGATGTGCCCTCACTGGGTACAGGGATGTGCCCTCGCTGGGTACAGGGATGTGCCCTCGCTAGGCACAGAAGATGTGTCCTCGCTGGGCACAGAGGATGTGTCCTCACTGGGCACAGAGGATGTGCCCTCACTGGGTACAGAGGATGTGCCCTCACTGGGTACAGGGATGTGCCCTCGCTAGGCACAGAGGATGTGTCCTCACTGGGCACAGAGGATGTGCCCTCACTGGGTACAGAGGATGTGCCCTCGCTGGGTACAGGGATGTGCCCTCGCTGGGCACAGAGGATGTGCCCTCGCTGGGAAGGGCTCCTGCCAGAACAGTGTCGCGGTGGAATGTGGGACGGCCGGGAGAGTGTTCGGAGGGTGTGGGTTTGACTTTGCTGCCCAGGAGAGCCCTGGCGCATGGTCAGGGGAGCCCCGTCTTCTCTCCTGTTAACACCCAGAGCACCCAAGGGGTCAGAGGGCCACGGGAGGTCCCCAGCAGAGACTTGATTATGTCTGGATCCCATGCAGGGAGGGATAAACGTGCTTTCCCTGGGAGATCTGGGTCTCACCTGGGGCAGGGGGTGGGGGTGCCGAGGTCCCACAAGGAGCCTAGCCTGGAGCTTCTTGTCCTTGCGCCCAAGAAATCTCGAGTTTCACCAATTAGACCCCCCTCTCCCCTCTGCCCCATTCCCCAGACCAGAGCTAGGCAGGAACAGAGGGAGGGTTAGTCCTAGGAATTCTCTCTCCACCAGCCCGGATTCCCTGGTGCAAGCTCTGCGCTCCCCCTCCTGGCAGGCCGAGCTGGCATTGCTGGGTGCTGTGGTCCCAGTGGTAACCCCGAGCAGGCGGGGATTGTTGGAATAGCCTCCGCTTCCTCCCCTCGTCCCCACTCCCGCCATGTGGTCTCTGTCTCTCCCTCTGGTGTTTGGTTGACCTGTTCTCTGCTCTCCTCCTCCTGACTGCGTGAGGACCCTCCTCTGGACAGGACCTTCCTTCTGGGTTCCCGCCCGCCGCACCTGCTCGTGGCCGCCGACTAGGTAGCGTGCTCTGCCTGCGTGCATGCCCCTTGCATGCCAGGAGAGGGCCAGGCCATCTCTGCACGGAAGAGGCAGAGCTGGCTTCTCAGAGACCCAGGGATCTCTCCCAGACTCTGGCTAATTGCCCTTTATACCAAAGATAGAATCCGATGGGTGCGCGGGCATGGTAATTGTCCCTCCTGCTTCCAATCACCTCAGGCGGGGCAGGTGAGCTCGCCCGGGCTGCCCTGTGGTGTCCAGAGAGCTAGCCAGGCAGACACCTGACACCCACTGGAGCTCTTGGGGTTCCCGTGGGCCACCCTCCTCCCCTTGCCCACGTGGGAAGAAGAGCTGCAGGCCCAGGAGCAGCCCTCCTGACCACCTGTTCCGTGGGGACGGTGTCTTCTCCCTACAGGTGACCGTGTGCTGGGTGGACGAGGCCGGGGCCAGTTCCACGCACTGCCTCTCCCCTCAGGCCGAGCACGCCGGCGTCCGCACCTACTTCTTCAGCGCCGAGAGCCCCGAGGAGCAGGAGGCCTGGATCCAGGCCATGGGCGAGGCTGCCCGGGTGCAGATCCCCCCAGCCCAGAAGTCCGTGCCCCAAGCTGTGCGCCTCAAGTGAGTGCCAGGGTCCAGGGCCTCGGTGGGGGGAGTGCTAGAGAGAGGAAGAGAGAGGAAGGGCCCCGCTCGATGCCATCGCCGACCCCGGTGTGCTGGCAGGAGCACAGATCAGGGTGCCTGGCGAGGCCATCTCAGAGCCTGTGGTCTGTTCCCCTGGCTGGCTCTTCCTCTGCTCTCCAAGCTGGTGGAGGCCAAGAGAGAGCCGGGTTCCGGTGGGGCCTGGCCAGGAGCCAAAGGCCGGGGTCACTTGCTCAGTTTTTCTGGGCTGTGCAAGTGAGGCTCATAGCCTTTACGGAAGGTAGACCCGGGTTCGAATCCCAGCTTGGTCACGTACACAGTGTGACCTCCGTGTAAGTGGCTTCACCTCTGTGGACCTGGGCTTCCTTTCCTCAGAGGCAGCAATCATGATCCTCCTCGTAGGCCGTTGTGAGGACTAGCCAGTATGCAGAGTGCTGGGATGTCGTGAGCACTCAGCACATGGCTGTGCCCATCACGTCCCCAGCCGCAGTCTAGGCGCCTGTCTATCCTAGAACTGGTGTTGAGTAGATATTAATGGGGATCCAGAAGGAGGTGTCACAGTGCAGTCTCCAAGTCTATGCACATGCATGAGACATGTTGACCAACCAATGTCTCAACACCAACGCTTGAATATGTTGAATTTGAGAAACTCTAGGGAGAACATTGTCATGAGATTCCACCTCAGCAGGGCTGTCCATTTGAGTTTGGCATCTGCTCTGGGACAGCATGCTTCCAGGGGTTCGCTCATCATTTCATAAGCATCTACTAGGAAAAGCAATGTGTGTGGCACTCAGTTGGGTACTGGGAAGACGAGGGAGCAAACTTCTGATGAGTTCCTGCCTCGTGGAGCTTATATTCTGACAAGAAATCAGTCCCGGGAGAAGCTGGCTTTGGGAAGGGAACTAGCATGTCTCCATGCTGTGCAGTTTGAGGCCACAGCTTCTGCCCGGGGCCTCCCCGGTGTGGCCCCACCCGGGTCCCCAGGGAGGCACGGTGCTGAAGGAGTGGAGTGGCCCGCGGGAGACCTGGAGGGCAGAGAGAGTCGCCCCGGCAGATCGGATGACTTTTTCTAGTCATTGGGCAACGGAATTGCAATGTAGTAAAGTCGGCTCCCATTGCCACCTTTCTGCCCATCCTCCTCCCCTCCCTCCCTCCCTCCCAGTGTACCACCCCCCACCCAGCTCCATGCGGGGCTGGGATCTCTCACGCCATCTCCCTTGGCACCCTGCAGCCACGAGAAGCCGGACTCGGAAAACACGCCACCCAGCAAACACCACCAGCAGCAGCCCCCTCACAACAGCTTCCCCAACCCTGAGCCCGAGGCCAAGACGCGAGGGGAGGGCGACGGCCGAGGCTGCGAGAAGGCGGAGAGGAGGCCCGAGAGGCCCGACATCCAGAGCGAGCCCCTGGCGAAAGCCAATGGCATCCCAGCCGGACCGGAAGCAGCCTCAGAGCCGGGCAGCCCTTACCCTGGAGGCCCGAGGGTCCCCGGGGGCGGGGAGCGGCCCCCCCAGCCCAATGGCCGGCAGTACGGCTCCCCGAGCCGGCCGGGGAGCACCGCGTTCCCGCCTCAGGACTCAGAGAGCGGGGGGCGCCGGCCGAGCTTCCCCCCCCACGCCAACCCCGACAAGATCGCCCAGCGCAAGAGCTCCATGAGCCAGCTCCAGCAGTGGGTGAACCTGCGTCGGGGGGTGCCTCCCCCCGAGGACCTTCGCAGGTGAGGCCCGCGGGGGGCAGGGGCAGGGGTCTGGGGTGCTGGTGCCTCTAAGGGCAGGGCTGGGGGAGTAACAGGAGAGGCACCCCCTGTTGGAAACCTTCTGGAAGCCAAGAAAGCCCAGGGTCCCCGCTTGGCCAAGTCCTTTGCTGCCCCCATGGCTCCCTCGGCCGGATCTTGCTCTCTATCTGCATCCTTTGGAGAAAGGGACAGAGCACCCAGTGTCTCTGCACAGGGTGTGGGGGGCCCAGGAAGCAGGCAGGCAGTTTGGGAGGGTCCCTGACAGACATCTGCCCCCGGGCTTCTGGCCCCCCTACAACATCCTGTGTGTCGGCGTCGCTGCCAGCAGGAGGCTCGTGGTCACCGGCCACGCCAGCCCCATCCCTGAACGGCCCTGACTGTGTGAGAACCACTGTTTATGGGCCGCTTTTCAAAAGAGAAAAGAAACAAAGTGTTGCCACTCATTGACCCCGGTTCTGCCCTCTGTACCAACCAACTGTTTTCTCGAGGGACTGGCTTTCAAACACGGGGAGGTTCTCACTGGGCCCGGGGGCCGGGCAGTGCGGGCAGCGCGGGCAGCGCGGGCAGGGGCTGCTTCCTGCTGGTGGGCTGGCGCCGGCCGCCGCCCTGCCCGGAGAGCAAGGCTTCCCTTGGCTCAGGTCCCATCTGAGCGGGAGCCGCGCTTTGTTCCTCCGTGCCCTCCCCCTGTGCCGGGGGCCCTCACTCTCCTCTGAGCACCTCCCCGGACAGGATCTGATAGATCCACTCGCAGATAGAGGAGGCTAATGGGGCTTCCAGTTTCTCCCGGGGGCATTGCATTTGAAGAGACAGCGATGGGCGGAAACTGGTTTGGCTCAGTGGATAGAGCACTGGTCTGCAGACTGAAGGGTCCTGGGTTCGATTCCAGTCAAGGGCATGTGCCTTGGTTGCGGGCACATCCCCAGTAGGGGGTGTGCAAGAGGCAGCTGATGGATGATTCTCTCTCATCCATGTGTCTAACTCTCTATCCCTCTCTCTTCCTCTCTGTAAGAAATCAATTAAAAATATATATATATATATATATATATATATATATATATTTTTTTTTTTTTTTTTTTTTTTTTTTTTTTTAAAGAGAGAGACAGCGATGGAAGCTCAGGGAGCTGGTTGAGGGAGGAGCTCAGAGGACGGGGTCTTCCCTGAACCTCTGGACACAAACCTGGTGCCCGGGCTGCTCCCAAGGCCAGCCCGAGGCACCCCTCTCGCGATCACCCCCTTTCCCAGCCCCCCTCCAGGCTGGAGGGCTCAGGGATGCGGCTGGGCAGGGCCGGGCCCGCTCTGTCCACGTCTTACACCGTCCTCTCCTCCCTCAGCCCCTCTAGGTTCTATCCCGTGTCCCGCAGGGGCCCCGAGTACGGCGGCCCCTACTCCTCCCAGTTCCTGGATGATTACCAGTACTACCCGCCGGGCGTGCGGCCGGACAGCATCTGCTCCATGCCCGCCTACGACCGCGTCAGCCCGCCCTGGGCCCTGGAGGACAAGCGCCTCTCCTTCCAGCGCAACGGCTGCGGGTGGAAGGAGCCGGCCGGCTACGGGCGGCAGGACGGCGGCACCGTCTGGATCCCCAGCCCCTCCCGGCAGCCCGTCTACTACGACGAGCTGGACGCGGCCTCTGGCTCGCTGCGCCGCCTGTCCCTGCAGCCCCGGTCCCACTCGGTGCCCCGCTCGCCCAGCCAGGGCTCCTACGGCCGCCCTCGCCTCTACTCGCCCGTCCGCTCGCCCAGCGCCCGCTTCGAGCGCCTGCCGCCCCGCAGTGAGGACCTCTACGTGGACCCCACCGCCTATGTGATGCGCCGGTCCATCAGCTCTCCCAAGGTGAGCCGCCCGCCAGCCTGTCCCCCATCCTCACCCCCGGGGGGCCCCCAGAAGCCCCACGCCACCTGCTGAGAAGAGGGGGCGATGCGGGGGCATCTGGGACGTGGGGGACACTGGGCTGTCATGTTGACAGGGGAGCCTCTGGCCCTAGGGTTCGGTCCCCAGGAGAGCTGCCCCGGGGAACGTGCTTTGTCCCCCCTAAGTAGGAACGATGCTTTCTTTCTTTCTTTTTTTTTTTTTTTTTTTTAAATATATTTTATTGGTTTTTTACAGAGAGGAAAGGAGAGGGAGAGAGAGCTAGAAACATTGATGAGAGAGAAACATTGATCAGCTGCCTCCAGCACACCCCCTACTGGGGATGTGCCCGCAACCAATGTACATGCCCTTGACCGGAATCGAACCTGGGACCTTTCAGACCGCAGGCTGATGCTCTATCCACTGAGCCAAATCAGTCTCGGCAGGAACGTTGCTTTCTGTGCCCAGGGCCAGATTATGCCGGGATCCCTCATTCTCTGTAAGAGGGCGGCGTGGCGCTAGTGTCCAGACCTGAAGGACTAAACAGATCATGGCCAAGATCTCACCCTGGAGATTGCCAAGGTTGTCCCTTTTAGTTCGGAGTCTGCTCCGGGACAGGATGCAAATATTCCCTAACCTTGGACGTCAGTTGGTGGGGAAGTCCGAGTCCCAGCCAGACCCTCTCACCTCTCCAACCCCCTTTCTCTTCCAGTATGATTCCCTGGGAGACAGGCGGCCAGTCCCTGCAGGGCTGTACCCCTACAACTACCCACCACCCCCCACGGTTCACGATAAGATGGTATGTCCTCTCCTCCCCGACACTCCGCTCAGGGTGGCTCCTCCCGGGAGGGCTCTGTGCCCCCTGCCTGGCCCGTGTGGTTGTTAGGAGCCTCTGGATACCTCCTTCCTCCCCCGGCCAGGGCTCTGACCCCAGCTGAGTTGGGTGCCAGAGGCCCCTTTTCTGTGACGCAGGGCAGAGACGCAAGGGCAGGTCTGGACGTTGTGATGTCGTTCCTGAGCCTCTGGCCTCAGAGCAATCCTGCAGCTCGTCCCGGGCCCTGGATAGGAGCTTGGATTGCAGGCTGGAAGCCTTTCGGGCTAGAATTCCCAGCAGGCACAGCCCTCCGGCCTGTCCCCCTATCGCACCTGCTTCTGCTCGTCCTGGCCTGGCATGCCGCTCTGGGGAAGGAGGCTGGCAGGGCTGGGGGAAAAGAGATGCCCCATATGGTTTCCTCGTTCCTCTCCCTCTGCTGTGTCTTTTCCTAAGACATTTTGTCTCCACCTGGAGAACCAGAACTGAGGGGCAGGCGGAACCCTCACCCCCCAGGCCTGCTGCTGTCCCCCTCTCTGCACAGCACCCGGAGGCCAGGGTGGAGGAGGCCGGGCCGGGAGGACGGAGCCTCCGTACCCTCTCCTCCTCTGCCAGCGTCCAAACCCCAGCCAGACCCACGTGAATGCGCCCACCCAGAGCCAGCAGATTTCCCCAGAAAACTGGGCACCCTCTGCGGGAGGTGCTGACCAGGTGACTCAGTGGCTCTTCCTCACCCGAAAGGGCCCGCCGACCAGGGCCCCCCAAGGAGCCCCAGAGTCTCTCCATGGCTGGCTTGGGCGCCTGCCCTCACCCTCACCCCACCCCCCTTCCCCAGGACTCCATGGCAGAGAGGCCTCCTGTCCTTGCCCAGCTAACTCTTAACTGCTTTGCTTCCTTTTTACTGTTTTCTTTTGTCCTGTTCCTGTTTGTTTGTGTTGCCGTTGGGCCTCGGGTTCCACGGGTAGGATGAACTGTTAGACCTTCAGTTGCAAAGAAACCTAGAGTATTTGGATCAGCAGGTAGGCAGAGCTGGTGCCCCCTCGCCACCCCTGCTCCTGTCCCCTCCCCCGCTCCTTCTCGCCTCCTCCCCGCCTCCTCATCCTCCATCCATCGCACAACCTTTGTTGGCACAACCAGGACACAACAAAGTGGCCTATATTTTGGTTTGCGCCTTCACACCCCTTCCCTCCCGAGCTCTCTAGGGCAGCTGGGAGTTTCCCGGGGAGAGGAGAATGTAAATGTCTCCATGAATAATTAATGCCACCTCCTGTTTGTTCAGCCAGATGGGCCTGCCCCCGGGGCAGGCAGGAATTTGCATCTTTGCTGGGGAGAGTAGCACCATGAGATGCCTGGGCCTAAAATGCTAGGGTTTAGTTCAGCGGGACTCTGGGAAATTGTCCTGTTAGACTCTGCAATTCACAAACAGATGGCAGCCGTGTCCTGGGATGGCTTAAAAACTTTATCGATTCAGTGTACTTGTGGTTCACATACACACACGGCATACGTTTTCCTGCGAATTCACTAGGGTGGACAAAGGGAGTCGTTTCAACCCAGGTTCCCGGATGAGTGTCCTGAAGAGGCAGTGACAGTTCCCCTGGGATGGAAGCAATGGGCTGCCTGGGCCGGGCTCCAGAGCGCTCTGCTCATTGGCCACCTGGCCTTGTAGGCTCAGGGGGCTGTGGCACTCACAGCCAGGGGTCAGCACGCTGGGCATTTCTCTGAGCACATCCTCTCATGCTAGATCTGTGCTACAGATCATGGGAGGAAGTCTGGGGTGGTGGGGAAAATCATAAAGGTAGTAATAGCGACAGCAATGGCCGCAACTACCAGAATCGGGTGCTTCCTCTGTGCTCAGTGCTATTCTAAGCACTACACAGAGCCTAACTCATTTAATATATATATTGATTTCAGAGAGGAAGGGAGAGGAAGAGGAGGAGAGAGGTAGAAACATCAATGATGAGAGGGAATCATTGATTGGCTGCCTCCTGCAACCCAGGCATATGCTCTTGACTGGAATTGAACCTGGGACCCTTCCGTCCACAGGCCAACGCCTATCCGCTGAGTCAAATCGGCAAGGGCTTAACTCATTTAATCTCGATAGAAACCCTGCAAGGGGCGGGGGGTGCTGTGAGTCTCCCCTTTTATAACTGGTAAAACTAAAGCACAGAGAGGCTAGAGGTGGGCTGAGGGCACATAGCTGGTGCATGCCAGAGCATGGACTAGGGTTCTGAGCTTTGACCTAGTTTACAGCCGCGGAAACATCTAGTAAATGAAGAAGCCTGGGTCACACCCCATCGGGGTGGTGGTGTGCTCTCGGGGCTGTCGAAAGAAGCAGAAGCCCGCCATCAGAGGCGGTAACTATGGTTCTGGTCACAGCACGTGACAAGCACCTCACTGGGCCTCGTGTCTTCGTCACTCATCTCGCAGGAGGCCTTGGGCATGGGAAGCGCTGACACCTGCATGTCAGTCAGCAGGGAAGGCAGTTAGTTCCAGAAAGCAGCCCTGTGTTGTCCAGTCCCAGGGGGTGTCCAGTCCGTGGGTAACTGGGAGGCCAAGCCTGAGCAGGCCTGGAAGCCCTGACCCCCAGCCCCAGAGCTGGCTCTGCTGTGCCCTGGGCCCATCCGCAGAGCCTGGCTGTCCGGTTAATCCGTGCAGACAGCAAGGCTTCAGAAATAACCTTTCAGAGTTGTCCTCCTCACTAAACAGATATCCTAGGTATTCTTAAGAGGCAGTGTGACAAGATAAGCGCCCCAAACCCAGAGCTTCAGCTCCACCTCTGCCATTTACAAGGAGTTTTGCTTTGTTGTTGTTGTTTTTTACCTTGAAAATGTCACTAGTCTCTCTGGGCCTTTGTTTTCTCAATTATAAAACAGTCATCATAGAAGCTGCCCGCCCTGCCTCCCGGAGGCATCGTGGGAGTCGAGTAAGAATGCATATGAGAGCACGTTATCAGGTGTTGGCAATAAGTGGTAATTGCTGTTCTGGTTATTTTATTGTTCTTTTTCCTTCTAAAACTCAATTTCAAATATTACTGAGAGCCCTTATTATGTATAAGGCACTGGGCTAGGTGCTCTCTCTTATGTATAAAGTACTAGGATAGGTACCATCTTCTGTCTCTCTAGACTCCAGGGTACCATCCTCAGAGAGACAGAGTCTAGAGAGACAGAGGATGGTACCCAGGAGTCTTCCTAGAGACAGGCCCCTCCTGGGCTGAAAGAGCTCCAGTCACACCAGGGTGGGTACAGGCCTGGGTGGGGCCAGTCCTGCTTCTCTCCTTCTTCTCCAGATCCGCTGGCTGACGGGGGAGAAGCGAGGGGAGGGCTGTGGGGGGATGAGACCAGTGCATGTCCAAGAAGGGCCTGGCCTCCCTGCCCTCTCATAGCCGATGTATTGGTAGAGCTGCCTTGTCTTCCATACACACACGACACAGGCATGACATATAGGTAGCTCATGTCAACATACACCCATGTGAATACCCCATGCACAGTAAATACAATATACACCCACACAGATTCTAAGAAGACAATGATCAATTCTAGTTCAGATCCTTACAATGTGGTTGATGTCCTGGTGACTTACCTATTTCACAAAGACTCAACCTTATGTCATAATCGCTGTTTTGAAAGTCTTTTAAATGCCATAGAAAAAGTTTCCAATTAGGCTAGTGAGATAGAACAATCAGATCTTCAGAAAGCCTTTTAAAATGCTGTAGGACCTGCCCCTCACCCATCCACAGCACACAGGAGCAAGGCCGAATTTGGACTGCCACCCAAATGGTACAAGGAACATACACGTGGGTCCGATACAGATTGGAAAGACGGGGGCAAACATGGGGCGGCCTCCCGAACTGGGAACCCAGAAGGTCTGCCCTAAGATGGCCCTACCCCTCCCCTTCCTCACTTCGCCTCCCTAAACAGCTTTTCCCGTGCTCCTCCCCTCTGCTGCCTACCCCTGCAGATGCATTGAGTTAAAGGGACATAGCCAAGGATGCTCCCTAATAGGCTCACTTTTTGATGCCATCCCCCTGGATCCAGTGGGGGAAATGATGGCATTTCTGATTAATTTGTTTGGCTCGTCCCCCCTCTTTCCCTCCATCCCTCCCTCCCTCGCCTTTCTTACTTTTTCATTTGTCAAATAGTCTCCCCCTTAACCCCCATGTTCCCAGTGATCCTTGAACCATGAGATAACGTGTTGGGAGAGCAGTGTTCCAATACCTGGTGTCCCTTTAACATGGCTTGCTTGTTTTGGCCTCCTTATTTGCTCCCTAGCGTCATCCAAGACCGGCATGGATGCTACCAGCCCAGCTCTGGAAACCATGTTTAGCAATCCTTCCTACTCTAGAGCCAAGAGGTGGGCAGGGGCTGGGGAGAGAGGCCCGTGCCTCGGTGTTTGGGAAGGCCTGCCCAGAGGCAGCTGCTCTTTTCCAGTGGTTTCATTTAGTCCAAACGGTGGGAGACTGGCCTTTGCAACTGCCAGTGTGGTCTTTGACCAAAGCAGTGTGCGAAATGCGAGCGAGCTGGGGCCAGGAGATGACCCACTTGACCCACGTGGGCGAGACCCATCATACTCAGGCACCCTGGGGCAGTGGTCCTTGGGCCGGGACATCTCAGAGCTGTGAGCAAGGGCGCAGGGACCTCCCCGCTCCCTCCTGTGGCCTTTCCTCGGGGCAGCTTCAGAGCTGGTGCTTAGAGGGAGTTCACAGAGGAAGAGTGATGGTAGAGGCCAACGAGAGGGTGCTGGTGCCCCCAAGAGGGCCTGCCCCCCTTCTCCCCCCTGTTCCGTGTCCTGGCAGGCGAGCGCAGGAGGGTGTGGGGAAGGTCTCTCTCTGTGAGTCTGAGTGTGAATCGTCCGTTCCTCCCTCTGCTGCAGATGAGTGAGAGTGAGACTCTCATCAGTATGGTGAACCGCATGGTGGAGAGCTCCTCCCCCAGGGCCCAACTCTTCATGCAAGTAAGACCTCTGCTGGCAGCATGGGCCCTGTCAACACCGTGTCAGCTGCTTGTGCATGGTCCAGTCACCCCACGGGGATGGGGCTTGCCCCGCCCAACCCCCTCATCGGCCGGGCCTCAGCTCCCAGGCTCCGCCCGGTCTCCCTCCTTCAACGCCACTGTGTTCCCTTCATTCTTCATGTTCACGGGCAAACCCACGTCCCATCTCCCAAACCATCAAAATAGCACATCTCATGCCTGCCAGGGACCATGGATCTGCTCTTTAATGCTTCTATTTTATATTTGGCATCTTCTCCACAGGCATTGCTGGGGGTGAGGGCGTGGGTGTGTGATAGGGAACCATTCAAGGCCAGCGGTGTGAAAAGGGTGCTGTGGTTGCCGGATGCGTCACGGAGGGCAGGGAGCATGTGCCGGACCCAGAGCCGCTTCTGTGTGTGTATCAGTCCTGGTTGAGGCACCAGCCCTGTGACTGGTATTCAGTCCCCTAGGTCAACAAGTCTCAAGCATTTCCAGTGCTCGTTCCATTCTCCCATGCCTGACCCTCAAACACAGCTGAAGGGTAACTGTTGCTGCCAGGGTTGTTACCAACAAGCCCTCTGGAAGCTACACACACTTGGAGTCCCTCTCAGCAGTAGGTCCTACAGCTTTGGAAAGAGGAGACAGCCAGAGCTGAGCAGCGCCTCTCCTTCTAGAATGGGCTTGGACAATAGGGATGGAGCCTAGACCAGGCCGTCCCAGGCTTCCCTGCCAGGGGACAGAGAATTAGTTCAGCTCAGGGGCCCAGGTGAAAGCTACCAGAGGTGGTGTATGATGGTTTCTGGCCAAAACAGAGCAAGGGTTGTCGCTTTCCCACCTCCACACGCCCTCTGTGCCCTGCTGCCGTAACCGGCCTCGTGTTCCTGCAGGTCCCTCCGTACCCAGAAGTGTTCCGGGACAGCGTCCACACCTACAAGCTAAACGAGCAGGATACGGATGTAAGAGCAGCGCTCCTGCTCCCTCTGTCCACTCCACCCCTCCTGCTGCTGTTCTCGTCCTCAGCTCCTCCATCCATCTCTCTCCTCGTCGCTCTTCACACACTCGACTCATGTTCTCTCTCCCTGCAAAGACGACATTCTTCCTGTCCCTCCTCACCCCCCTTCTTTTCTCATTCTTCCCCCTCCCCCCGCCTCCCACTCTGGCTGTGCCTTTCCCCCTGAGCCCGAGGCCCCGTGTCTCCAGCAGTGCGATCTGCTTCCTGCAGGAGCTCAGACTTAGTCCCTAGGTAACTGCCAAGAAGAACATGGCTGTGCCCCAGCCCTCTGGGAGCCTCAGGGTAGCGGCAGACACCCGGTGCCAGCAGGTGGCAGCATTGATTCCTATACAAACAGCCCGATAGCAGGTTCTGCAAGAGTGAGACCCTGTGGGCTGGTGGGTCAGGGTCAAAACAGGTGGCATGTGAGCTGGCCTTGAGCTAGCAGGCGCAAAGGGCACAATCTGGTTCCGGGGGAAGGAGCTCAGGGGTGTCTGAGGAACGTCATGAACAGAGCTGCGCGCATAGAAAAACACAAGTCTTTCCGGAGGAGAAGTTTGGCCCCGCCTGCTTCCTCCCCAGCTGCCCTGGCCTTGTCTGGGGAGCAGATCCGCCCAGCAGGCCTGGGAGAGGTTCCATCCACACAGGGACCAGACCTCCGAGGGACCCCGGCATCAGCCATCCTGAGACCCTGGCGAGAGGAGGGGAGACTAGATGGTGTGGACCATGGAGCCCATTTACATTGTTTGCTGGTTTTCTGAGACTGCTGTTCAAACACCCTACCTACCCCTTGAGTCCATATCCCCTAGGAGGCCAGGAGGGCCAGGCCACGTTATCTCCCAACCCTCATGAGTTAGAAGACCTGAGAGGATGGGAGTGTAGGAGCCTAATGTTTGGCGTTCGGCCCTCTCTTGACTCACTTCCTCAGAGAATCAACACACCTCCCCTCCCAGTGGGTTCTGGGGAGTCGGGCTCCCAAGGTAAAGACCACCTTCCTGTTCCCAGGAGTTCCCCAAGTCAGGGTGACAGGCTAGGCTTCTCTGTAGGGGAGAGGAGGCGGTATCCAGAGGCCGGGCCCTGCCAACCCAAGTCCCAGGTCCCCATCAAACGTGTCCTTCACCCCTTCTCTCTCCCTTCCTGCCCCCCACTTTCTCGGGACCCCAGAAGTTGCTGGGCAAACTGTGTGAGCAGAACAAGGTGGTGAGGGAGCAGGACCGGCTGGTGCAGCAGCTCCGAGCTGAGAAGGTGAGAATCAAGGGGTGGCCTTGAGTGGGGGCAGGTGGGGTGGGGGGAGAACCGGGGGGGAAGGTGTGGGCTGCTAGCTCCATCTTGACTAAGCCAAGAGCTTCGCCCTCCTTGAACTTCTGTCCTGCCCTTGCTCTCCTGGGGAGCCTCAGGCAGGGTGAGGACAACCTCCACTCATCGGCCTGGGATGCTAACAGCCCCAAAGAGGGGAGCTCAGGGCCACTCTCGGCCGCCCCTGCCTTCCCTCAGGAGAGCCTGGAAAGTGCCTTGATGGGGACCCACCAGGAGCTGGAGATGTTCGGGAGCCAGCCCGCCTACCCAGAGAAGCTGCTGCACAAGAAGGAGTCGCTGCAGAACCAGCTCATCAACATCCGGGTGGAGCTGTCTCAGGCAACCACGGTAAGTAACCGTGGTCACCAGAGCAGGCCTGCACCTGCCAGGAGAGCCTTCCCTCCCCGAATCCCCGGTCTCCCCAGAGGGCCGGAGCAGGGTGCTCCCGGGGAAGGACACAAACACAGACCGGAGCTCTACCTTGCAAGGAGACAGCCTGTAAGTCAGGCTGCTCGCCCACAGTCTCCATGGAACTAGCGGCGAACTTTCCACCAACCATACCTGCCCCAGGTCGGCGTGAAATCAAGGCCACTTGTTTCTCTGGCTGCTCTGGCTTCTCCCCTGGAGAACCCGGACCCTGGCAGCGATGCTGCTGCCTGGTCATCCCTGTGGGCCTGGGGCAGACCCTCCCAGCTGACAGTCTGGGTAATAACTTTCAGGGAAGCAGCAAACGCTCCCGGAGAGCATGGCCCAGAGAGGAGAGCACACCTCCAGAGGCACCCCCCTTCCCTCCGTCTCTTTTCCCTTCATCCTCCGCTGTCCATGGCCCCATCTGGGAGAGCAGGAGGGGGAGGGAGCGACGCTCCCTGCTCCGGCCTGTCCACGTGTCTGGAGAGGATGCTATTTTCTCTTACTTGGTTTGTGACTCTGGTAAGGCTGGTGCTTGGCTGTCGTTAGCATGTCACAGGCCTGTGCACTCTCCTCCTGGCCCTCCCCGGATCTGCCAGCCCCGGGCCCCAGGCCCTCCAGGCCCAGTGGCAGGAGGAGAGGGGTGCTGGGCGAGCTGCTCTCTCAGTAACTGCTCCCTGTGCAGGCCCTGACCAACAGCACCGCGGAGTACGAGAGCCTCGAGTCGGAGGTCTCCGCCCTGCATGACGACCTCTGGGAGCAGCTCAACTTGGACATCCAGGTGACCGGGGCCCGGGCAGGCAGGGGGCCGCGTGTGCTGTGGGTCTGCCATTGTCCTTGTGGCCAACAGAGACCAAGGTGGCATCCGCTCTTGCTTTAGAGATTTCAGACTAAAGGCGAAGAGTTGGTTTCTGAGACCAAAGGCCAGATTTGGGCCACTTCAAAGGGACTCCAAATCTCAGGATAACGTGGGGTTCTTTTTCAGTTCCATCATAAATGGCAGGGAGTGAGCCCAGGAGAAGCACAGGAGCTCGTTAGATGCCAGGTGTTGTATGACTGAAGGATTGAACAGACATAAATAGAAATACAAGATCGTACAACGCTCCCTCAGGACAGCAGAAGAGTAGGCAGTACAGGCTGCATTCAGGCATTAGGAAGAGACCTCCTTTCTGGGACTTGTTAGAAGCATGGACGCGCTGACCGTGGGCATGTTGTTCTCTGCCTCCCTCTGTCTTTTCTCTGCCCAGCTCACTCCTCTGTGCCTCCTCTCTAGCTGGCATTGCAAGCCGTTCCTCTGGTGCGGTTAAGTCCTGCTTTCCCCGGTTTTCCTTCTGGTAACAGAACTTACCACCCTAGCCTTGCAGCTGGTTGGGTGGAGCGAGGCAAAAGCCTGGTCTGAGGACCCAGGGGGTCGGTGGGCGATTTTAAGAGGCAGGGAAGTGTGACCAAGAGCACTAGCTCTTGGAGCAAACAGACCCAGATTCGGGTGGTGGTCGCACAACTTACTCCCAGGTGGCTGGCTGAGTCCCTTCGTCTCGGAAGTGGAGACAGCTGCCACCCTGGCCTCCTAGAGCCGTGTGGCCAGAGAGGGTTAGTGTCTGCAAAGCACTCAGCGCGGTGCCCGGGGCAGGGGTGCTAAATTAGAGGTGGCCATCATTTTTCAAAGAGCGGGTGCTGTCATCAAATACAATCCATGAGCACTTAGGCATACGCTGGAGGTGGGCCTTACAGACGAGCTACCTGGATCTGAAGGAAACCAGGGAAGTGGAGCACTCAGCCTGGAAAGGGGGCTACCCTAGAATGTCCACCTGTGGGGCCTCCTCTCCATGACCTGTCTCCCCCAGGGGCTCGGGGGCAGGTCCCCACTCTCTTATAGCTCCTCAGGATGATCTAAGGGGACTCTTCACCCTAATGACAGAGTCCTCTCGTTAGCATTCAGAACTGCATTTCATAGAGGCTGAGGACACAGAGGCCGCCTGGGAGAGAGACGAATGTGCTGGAGAGTGTGAGTGTGTGTATGTGTCTGGTATGCGTACTGGAGGTGTGTGTGTGTGTGTGTGTGTGTGTGTGTGTGTGTGTGTGTGTGTTACACTCCCTCGTGCACAGGGTTCCTGCCTGCTGCTGGCTTAAGGGAGGTGGGGAAAGGGAGGGGACACTCCTCAGCAGTCACTTCCTTTGACCTGCTCTGTGGCTGTTGCAGAACGAGGTGCTCAACCGGCAAATCCAGAAGGAGATCTGGAGGATCCAGGACGTGATGGAGGGGCTCAGGAAGAACAACCCGTCCCGGGGCACAGACACAGCCAAGCACAGAGGTGGGCGCCGCCCCTGCCAGCCTCAGGCCTCTGGCTTCACCAGGAATGCTCTGTGCCCTGGCTCCTCCCACACTTGCTAGCTCGCCCTCTAGGCCAAGCATGTCAAACTCACGGCCAGCGGGTTTGGCTAATTTACTGGCCACAGTTTGACATGCTTGCTCTAGATCCTCACTCTGTGCTCAGAACCAGCCATGGCCTCTCAGGGCTCCAGAGTCCTCCCCAGAACCCTGGGGTGGTGGGTAGGACACCCTTATCCTCCCCTCCCCAGAACAGACTGGATATACCACTCAGAGATGCTGTTGACCCTGATACCCTAGATTTCTCCCCAGAAAAGGTCAAAAGAGCAGCTGGGCGTCCCCAGGCCCTAAGCCCACCGGCCCTTGGATGGTCTGAGGCCTCTACCTTAGTGTCTTCCTTCAGCTTGGGACCTTGAGCTGGTTGGCTTTGACATCCTCTCCCCTGCGCAGCACACCTCCCAGCTGGTGGCCCAGCCCATGTACAAGTCCCTTGGCAGGCTCAAGGGACCCTCCCATGTCCTTGAACCCTGCCCTGCCCTCCCCACCTACATAGCCATCCATACTCCAGGCCACACCCCTGCCCACCCTCATCTTTCTCCTCTTGTTTTCCCCCAAGGAGGCCTTGGCCCCTCGACCACCTACAGCTCCAACAGCCCTGCCAGCCCTCTCAGCTCCGCCAGCCTCACCAGCCCCCTGAGCCCCTTTTCACTGGTGTCTGGCTCTCAGGGGTCCCCCACCAAGTCAGGGTCCAATGAGGTAAGCTGATGAAATGAAATAGAAGGTAAACGGGGAGGAAGGACCTGGTCCTCATTTGCCTGAAACTACACAGATTCTGTGCCCCGTCTTCCCCAGAGGCCTGCAGTCCGAGTGCCTCTGCCTGAGGGGCGTTCTCCCATCTAGTGTGTGACCTTCCTCCCATTTCTCCTGTACCTGCTCTGGTCTTCACCAGCATCCCTGGCCTCCTTCCAGAGCACCAGGATGGGGAGCAAAGATACCAAGCACTCGATAGGAATTCAAACCCAGGGTTGTTCCAGGGGTGAAGGGGTGAGAGCTGGGGGACAATTTCCTAGTCAGTTGATTAGCAAGTGTTTACTGGCTCTACTTTGGGAGAGGGTGGCAGGAGGCCCGCTCGGGGTACCCCGCATGCCCACGGCCTCCACTCTGAGGCCCCAGAGCCCAGGGGGACTGAGGCCGATAGACAGCAAACCAGCCTCAGGCACGTGGTGATGTGTGTCTCAGTACTGAGCCATGTGGTTCAGACTGTAAATGCTCTGCTCTTCCAGAGAGGATGGGACTGGAACTGGACCTGAGGCTTTGGCACAAGTAGAGGAACAGGACAAAGTGTTGAGACAGATAGAGGAACAGGAGAAGTGTTGGGACAGGCAGAGGAACAGGAGAAGCGTTGGGACAGGTAGAGGTACAGGCCATCGCAGGCAGAGGCACTGGCGGTAGCACAGGTACAGGGTGGGAAGGTATCATTGTGGCGACGAGGAGAAAACTTTGGAGAAGAGATGGGAGTGATGGGAGTGTGCGCAGGTGGCTCAGTGGAGTGGGCCTGAGGGCCAGGCACAGCTGGCTCTGCAGGTAGCTGTGTCCAGGCCACAGGTGGGAGTTTGGGTCCAGGGCCCCGGGTCTCCGCGGCATCTGCCTCTGCTAACGCTCTTTTCTCCTGCTCTCACAGCGCCTGCTCTCGCTCCTCCTAATGCTCTGGCTTCTCTCTGCCTCAGGAGCCCGGCCCACCGCGGCCCCCCCTCCCCAAAGCCTACGTGCCCCTGGAGTCTCCTCCCACCGTGCCTCCACTCCCTAGCGAGAGCCACTTCTGGCCGTACCCCAACTCCCCTTCCTGGCACTGCAGTGGCGAGACAGCCAGGGGCCAGGTACCCAGCACCCTTGGGTCCTGGAGGGCAGGGGTGAGGGAACGGGACCGAAGGCCAGGCGAGGGGCAAGGGGGGACAGGGAGTCACTTCTGCGTGCCAGTGTTCATCCCCGCACTGAATTTCTGCTGGGCCCTCTGTCTGCGCAAACTCTGGAATGAGGAGAGGCTGATGGGGCACTCACACACGCCCTCTTGCCCCTCTTTGCTTTCTGTGGACAATGGGGGAATGAGCTGCTGCTCTACTCTGTGCCAGGCTCCTGGGGGCCCCTGGCTCTGGGTGGTGGTATGGCCTTCTCCCTGCCAGCATGACCAGTTGATGGGAATCAAGGGACCCACACACACATACTGGTTCTGTCCTTGTCCACCCCAGGCCCCAGCCCCCCATGCTGTCTCTGCCTCTGTCCTCTCTGGGGCCCACCACCCCTGGAATATAAGGGTGCAGGCCCCCTCTTCCCTGTTCGGGCCTCCCCTCTCGCCTGGATCCCTAGCGAAGATCCAGGAGAGGCGTGCAGTTAGGCTCGGAAGAGGTTGCACGGTGAGTAAACATCCTGTGCCCGAAACTGGGAAACTCACATTCTCATCTCAGCTGCTGGAGTGTGCCTAGTCCCGAGGGCCTGCCCGGCGAGGTGGGCAGAGCAGGGAGCGGCACTGCAGTCCCAGGTGAAGGCAGGTGTGTTGTTTGCCGTGTGCCCCAGCAGGGCTGGAGTGGAGCTTTCTGAGCTCTGGCCTAGGCTTCTTCCTCTGCGATCCTCACTGAGACTTAGATTCTTCAACTGGACGGAGGGATGGGGGTGGGGGAGGGGGCAGGCACAGAATGGAGCAGATGATGGCTGAGGTCCCTTCTGGCCTCAGGATTCTGTGAGCCACAAGCTGAGTGCCCCTTTCCTGCCCCCAGGGCCCTGGTCCCAAAGCTCACCGGGTTCTTTGGCTCAAGTCTTGGGCAGGATCCAGACAGAGTCCTCAGAGACCGTTGGCCTGATGGCCCCTCCACTCTGGCTCACTTGGTGCTTGCCGAGGGGACTGGCCAAGTGGAGGGGCCTCCCAGAGGCGTGAGCCCTCCTTCCCCAAGGACCTCGCCCTGGCCAGCCTAGTGCCTCCCTGTCCACTTCACAACAGGCACACGCAGAGTGGCCCTGTCCCGGGTTTTCAAGGGTTTGCATGCCAACCATTGCCAAACAAAGAACTATCGCCGGGGCCTCCTTCCTGGCAGTCACTCTTGCATGAAACACCTCCTCATCCTTTCTTCCAGCCCAAGGCAAGCTACGACCCAAGCAAGAGAGAGTCCCACCAGACCTCACCCCCGGACACGTCGAGGGACATCAGCCTTGTGCCTACCCGGCAAGAGGTGGAGGCAGACAAGCAGACGGCTCTCAACAAAGGTATCTCCTGCCCCGTCTTCCCCTAGAACTGAGGCCCGGGGTCAGAGAGGAGCGCAGGGCGGTGCTCACTCATACCTATGGAGTGCTCACCCACCTGGCCTGTCTTCTCCACGGACGGTGGGGGTGAGACCCAGCCTCTCTGAGAAGCAGCCCCGCCCCGTCTCTTCGCCTTCCTCTCTCCATGAGGCCCACTGGCTGTTCTGTCTCCCTGCAGTTGGCATTGTGCCCCCGCGGACAAAGTCGCCCACTGAGGAAGAGGGGACCCCATCGGGGGTGGTGAGGAGGAATGCCAATGGGCTCCACAACGGCCTCTCTGCCCGGGTAAGTACCCCTGCGGGCTCTGGGGGCTTGGCGGGCCTGAGTCAGGCCAGGAGCCCAGGGCTCTGAGTGTCCACCACCTGTCGCTCCTGTTCAAGACCCCCAGGGCTGGAGGTGGGAGACAGAGAAAGCAGGAAAGCCAGCAGCCCCAGCCAAGGGGTCTTCTTCAAGGAGGCGTGCCAAGGGACAGGAATGTGTGCATAATAAAGATTTTAAAAAAAATACTGAGCAAAATTACTACGATGACATACAGATGTGGCAGAAGCCAGTGGTCAGAGTCGCGTGCTGGCCAAAGCTGATGTCGGGGTCCTGGGGCCGCTAGGAGAGGAGCAGAATGCCACGGGCTTGGTAGCTTAACCCACAGAAGTTTACTTTCTCACAGTGTGGAGGCCAGAGGTCTGCACTGGGGGTGTTGGCAGGGGTGGCTCTTCTGGAGGATGAGGGAGAGGCCCCGCCCCCCCGCCCAGGCTCCACCCCCTCCCGCCCAGTGGATGGTCATTGCTGGTGATCCTGGGTGTCTTTGGCTTGTGGACGCATCACTTCGCATCACCTCCCCCATGTGTCTTCTTGTCTCCCCCTGAGGACACCCATTATTGGTTTTAGGGTGGCCCTGATTCAGGATGCTCTTGAGACCCTTAGTTTAGTTACACCTGCAAAGACCCCCTTTCCAAATAAGGTCACACTCACAGGTCCTAGGGGTTAGGACGTGGACATATCTTCCGGGGACCGCTATTCCATTGACTACAGGCAACTTCCCAAGGAAGGGGAATCTTAATGGATTAGGGCAGCTGAAAAGGCTGGGGGGAGGGCATGCACCTCTCAGAGCCTCGTATGTGTGTCCTTACCCACCCCCCACCCCCCCACCCGCGCAGCAGGAGCGCCCCAAGAGCGCGGTGTTCCCCGGTGAGGGCAAGGTGAAGATGAGCGTGGAGGAGCAGATCGACCGCATGCGGCGCCACCAGAGCGGTTCCATGAAGGAGAAGCGGAGGAGCCTGCAGCTCCCTGCCAGCCCTGCCCCAGACCCCAGTCCCCGGCCCGCCTACAAGGTGGTAAGTCCTCCCAGCGTGACCTGACATTGGTCAACACTGCCTGCTCCCGGGGGCGGGGGCGGCCAGCCTGGGCTGGAGTCTGGGAGTAGGCTGGGGGTTAGAGAAAGAGGGGCTGGAATGCTAATGGGCTCCCCGATGGCCTCTCTGCCTGGGTAAGTACACTTGTAGGCTCTGGGCACTGGGAGGCTTCTGCCCACTGGGCAAGGAGATCCTGCTATAGGCGTTCCCTTCTTTTTTCATACATTTGTATTGATTTCAGAGAGGAGAGAGAAAGGAACATCAATGATGAGAGAGAATCATTGATTGGCTGTCTCCTGCATACACACATTGGGAATGAGCCCACAACCCTGGCTTGTGCCCTGACTGGGAATCCAATAGTGACCTCCTGGCTCATGGGTCAACACTCCACGCCAGTCGGGCTGGGTGTTTCACTAACTCACACACAGGAATGCCTTGATTATTTTGGTTGAACCAAATTACATACCATTCAGGTAATAGAGGGCAGTGCGCCAACCACCACCCACAAGTGGCCACCCCTTACCAACGTTTCCAGCACACTTTCTGTGGCTGAGCACTGGGCCGGGGATCATTGGCATGGCTCAGTTCAGCTCCCCGTCCCTTTCCCGTTCTCTGCCTCATCCTTTCAATAGCCCGGGTTTGGAGTTACTATCCTTTAAGAGAGAGAAACCAAGTCACGAGAAATTCAGGGAGTCTTGGGCCACACAGCCGTTAAATGCAGCGCTGGGAGGAGCCCAAGGCATCTGCCTACCTTTTCTTTCTGAAATATGCCGAAGTTGTGACTCATAGGTCCTGCCCTCCAACAGTTCACATCTCAGCTGGTGGATTGGAACTTCCATAATAATAGGAAGTGGTTAGAGACACTAAGTGTAAAACACTGAATCAGCTGCCCAAATATATGTCACAGGAGGCGACGGAAGGGCATGAGGGGGGAGGGGCGGGGGTGACGAATGCTGGTGAGAAATGTTGATGAAGTCCCGCCTCCGGTCCTGGCAGTGGGCAGGGTGGCTCTGCAATGGGAGCCGCGGGGTGGCAGCCAGACCGGGCGCGCCAGGCAGGGACAGAGGGGGCACGCGTGGTTAGGGCGCCCAGAAGGCTCGAGTAGAAGCTGAGGTGCCCATGTCCCCAGGTGCGTCGCCACCGCAGCATCCACGAGGTGGACATCTCCAACCTGGAGGCAGCTCTGCGGGCGGAGGAGCCCGGTGGGCAGGCCTACGAGACGCCACGGGAGGAGATTGCCCGGCTGCGCAAGATGGAGCTGGAGCCCCAGCACTACGACGTGGACATCCACAAGGAGGTGAGCGGAGTCCGGGGGACGGGGCGGGCAGGGGCCCTGAGAGGGATGGAGCGATGACCTCGGTTCCCCCCTCCACCCCGCCACAGCTCTCCACCCCCGACAAAGTCCTCATCCCTGAGCGGTACATCGACCTGGAGCCGGACACGCCCCTGAGCCCCGAGGAGCTGAAGGAGAAGCAGAAGAAGGTGGAAAGGATCAAGACGCTCATCGCCAAGTCCAGGTAACTGGCCTGAGGGGACCTGTACTCTTTCTGCCTCCCCACCCCCACGGCACCTAGGACATCAGTGCTCCAGCCCATGTCCGAGGGGACCCCAGCCTCCCCCAGAGTGGAGCGAATAGAGGCCGTGGCTCAGGGCAGTGATCTGGGCCTGGCCCTCCGGTGGGCCCAGGAGCTGCCCATGGGTGCCCAGAGGACCGTGAGCTCACGCACATGCTCATCCAGACACATTGATGGGCTGCCTCTGTGACTTCTCCCCTCCAAGGCAACGTGCACTTGAACCTTCGAGTTCGTTGTAAAGCATTGTGGGTAAGGGTCCCCACATGTGTTTCGCCAGAGCTTGGGGGGGACCAGAGCTTGCACATGCCCCCCTGCGGGCCAGCTGGACATCCTGTCCCCCCACCATGTCTGTGTGTCTGTGCCTCCTCAGTATGCAGAACGTGGTGCCCGTCGGCGAGGGGGACCTTGTGGACGTGCCCCAGGACTCAGAGAGCCAGCTGCAGGAGCAGGAGAAGCGGATTGAAATCTCCTGCGCCCTGGCCGCCGAGGCCTCCCGCCGGGGCCGCATGCTGTCTGGTGAGAGGGGCCGGGCCTCACTCTGCCAGGGACATGGCCCACCGACCACTTAGGGGAGGAGGCATGGCGCTGGCAGGGGTCAGGGCTAGAGAGGAAGAGGGCACGGGCAGGCTGAGCATTGACGGGGCGCCAGGTCCTGTGCTAGGCTCGGGGCGCACAGAGGCTGAGGTGAGGGAGCTCAGAGCCGGGAGCACTCTCCTCACCCCCATACAGCAGGATGGCCGAGGCCTTGCAGGGAGCACAGGGAGCCATTGCACCGGGCAGGTTGGGAGGCACAGAGAAAGGTGATCACGGACATGATTGGGAAAGTTCAAAGTATTTACCAGCTGAGGGGTGAGGGCCAGGTATTCCAGGGTACCCTTCCCTTCTCCTCCTTCTTATTTGCTTTGTTAATCCTCACCCAAGAATATTTTTCCATTGATTTTTAGAGAGTAGAAGAAAAGGGGAGAGACAGAGTGTGTGTGTGTGTGTGAGAGAGAGAGAGAGAGAGAGAGAGAGAGTGAGAAAGAGAGAGAGAGAGATTTATGGTTACCTCTCGCATCGAGATACGTGCCTTTGACCAGAATCAAACCCTTCCGTCTTCGGGCTGAGGCTCTATCCACTGAGCCAGACCGGTGAGGGCTCACTTCCCCTTCTGGCTGCATGCGGAGAGGAAGAAGGAGAAAGAGGGTGCAGGCAACCCAGGGCTGAGCGTGCTAACCATCGCCACGTTGGCTGCGGACCCAGCACTCTTTCCCGCTAAGGGAAGATGAGTCTGAGGGGCTGGCTCACGCGGGTCCGAAGGGCAGCAGGTCCCAGACGGACACCGTGAGGTCAAAGTCAACAGGACTCGCTCTCCTCAGCCTGAGACATCGCGGGGGGAGATGAGAGTGTAACAGGCAAGCACGAGATGAAGGCAGGTGGGGAGAATGAGAGGGATTCTCTCTGAACGGGAGCGGGGAAGGCAGAGGCGAGGCAGTGCTGAGTCACGAAGGCTGGGAGATGACAAGGTGGCCAGGATGGAGAGGGAGAGGAACAGAGGGGGCTTTGGGGCCGGCCAGGAGGGTGCCCCGGGAGGATGCCAGGCTTGATGACTTTAGTCCAGGCGGCAGCCGCAGGCACTGGCCACGGGTACAGCAGCCTGTGTAGGAGTCCATGGAGGGGATGGCGTCTCGTGGCGATGTTGATGAGGATTCCAGTTCCAGCTACCCGAGGCTCCGATCCCTCCTCCGTAAAATTCAAATTAGGACACGGTGTGGCGGTGCGAGGAACAGACAGAGTGTGTGCTGAGCGCCCAGCACAGGGCCAGGCGCCCAGAAGGTGCTCAGTAAGCTCCCTGCCAGCTGGGGCAGCAGTGGTGTTGGTGATGGAGGCAGTTAGTGCTCTTTGAAACGGCCATGGCTGGAGTAGGAAGAGGAGCCATTTGTGTTTTTCTAGCTCTTTTCAATAGGGCTATTTTCAGAAACCAGCGGCTTTTGGGCTAAACAAGGATGTCAGTCAGCCTTCAGGAAGAACCTAGCAGTTGGGGTGCAGTGGGCATTAGCTGGGTGTCCTGGGGAAGCCCCTGGAGGTAGTTCATTCAGAGAGAGGCTCCCCTTGGGCTGGAGCTGAGGGCAAGGAAAGCCTGGGGCCAGAGGCCGCAGAACCAGTTTGGCTGCCAGGAGGCCCCGGCCAAGCCTCTCTGCAGTTCCGGCTGTAAAACGCACTTGAACCCGCCCAAGATCAAATTCCACTCGCTCTGGGCAAAAGGAAACATCCTCTTTCAAGGGTTATAGCACACAATATTGTTCTTAATCCTTCCCTCCGCCCCTGCCCCAGCCCCTGGCGCTCTCTCCGACAGTCCCGCAGCCCAAGGTTCCACGGAAACAAAACCTGCCGGGCCTCTCAGGTTCCGCCACACACACACACACAGGTTTACATTTTGGGGTCTGTGCACCGAGCACACACGGTCACCTGGGCTTTGCCAAAACCCCAGCTATTTAAAAAATGGCTGTGGACGGGCCAGGCCTCAGACTTAGCCCACTGTCCCCACCACCCACCTTCCATGGTCCAGGTGCCCAGAGCTGCTGATCTGCCAGGCACAGTGAGGACTGTTCCGGGGCACCCATAGTGTGGGCACCGTCCATGCGGGGGGCCTGTGTGCATGGGGTGCTGGGCACGGGCGTGAGGACAGTGCCTGAGTGTGGCCGTGTGGCACGGATGGTGGTCAGTGATGAGTGTGGCAGCGTTGGGCCATGACACCCAGTGTGCACCGACGCAAGTCGGCACTATAGGGGAAGGCGGGGCAGTGTTCAGGTCGTGTACACTGAGTGGCCAGATTATTATGATCTCTGAACGCATAATAATCTGGCTAATATGCAAATTGTCCCCTCGACCAGTTCAACCAGCAGGCAGGCCAGCCAGCCACCCATGTCCCTTCCCCCTGGCCAGGTGGGCTGGACCCCACCCATGCACGAATTCATGCCCCAGGCCTCTAGTATGTATAGATGATATAGATATAGATATAGATATAGATATAGATATAGATATAGATATAGATATAGATATAGAGATATAGGTATATAGGTATATAGGTATATAGATATATAGATATAGATATATGTGTGTGTGTGTGTGTCCCTGTGCGCGCGCATGCGCACGTGTACACACACACACACCCACACACACACACTCAGTGGCCAGATTATTATGCGTTCAGAGATCATAATAATCTGGCCACTCAGTGTATATGGCATGAGGGCATGTAGAGTATCTGAATCAGTATTGTTTGTAGGTACGTATGTATTTGTATGTATTCAAGTATGCAGTAGGGGGGAGGGAATATTTGAGTAAAAATGTAGGGGGGTGTATGTATGTGCGTTCATGTGTGCAAAATGTCCATGGGTGTTATGTGGAGATGGTTATGTATGAGTTCAGGTGTTCTTGGTAAGCTGTTGGAGTATAGGTGTATGTGTCCAGGGAGTGGAGGTAGTATTTATGTCCATGTTCGTGTGTGAATGGCTTTGTTTGCAGAATGGGGGACGATAACAACGTTCGTGTGTATTTTGTGCACAGTGTGTACATTGCAATATCTGTGAACTTCTGTCTGCGTGGGGTGTGGGAGAGCAGTCTCATGAATGTGAGTATGTGTGACTGGTTATTGGCGCAGGCAGCTGTGGCAGGATTGTGAGCAAAGGTATAATATCACATCTGTTCGGCACATACCTGCAGCAGAATCTTTCTTGCTCTTACTGCTTTAGGATCATTCAGAACAGCCTTCCTTCTGACCTCGGTCAGGGGTTGCCCTGAGGGTTTTTTAATGGTTCAGACCTGTGTGTAGCTACGTTCAACGCTGCCAACCTGTGACGCTTTTAAAGTTATGTCTGCTTTTTGCCAACGATTTTCTCTCTTCAGTTGTGCCTTCTTATGGATGTCCTGGGTCCCTCGATTCCTCTTTCTTTTCTAATTTTCTTGTTTTTCACTCTCCTGTGGGCTGGAATCCCAGCCAGGCAGTGCCTCAGAGCCCCGAGTAACTCAGGGTCTCTGACTCCAAGGAGCGCTTCCGAGTCACTGGACGGACTCCCCGGTGTGCATTGTACCATCAGCTTGGCTTCCTTGAGGCAGTCCTTGCTTAGCTTTTGAGTTTTTGAGCTTTTGCGGCTTTAGAAACCGAGGTTGCCAGAGAATTAGCCATCACGATGCAGACATGCACATGAATGTGTGTTTCAGAAGCATCTGCGAATGCATTTGAATGTGAAGTTACAGGTGTGCTGAGCCATGGGCACACGTGCGCGCGCACACTCACACACACACACACACACACACACACACGAATCTGAGTTGTGTGTAGTAAGGATACGGCTTAGCTGCATCCCACGCACAAAGTCCGTGTTGTGTGTAGGCAGACACGACTCCCTGCTCCGTGTCTTCAGTACATATGTGTGTGTGCACATGGGTGATGGGCGGTGCACTGGCCCTGCCTCCTGCACAGGGCAGGGAAGGTGGCGAGGTCAGGTGAGGAGTGTGGAGGGGGTAAGAGCAGGGAGCGGGAGTTTAACACCCAGATCCTTCTCTCAGAGTAAACGTGAGACCCTGGCGGGGCCTGGCTCTGCTCTGGGCTGCAGTGAAGCCATCTGCTTGGCTCGCTCCTGTTTGTACTCAGCTGGGCTGCAGCTGCACAAGGGCTAGGACTGCATAGAGCTGGTCCCTGACCACACCCCGTCTCCTTGTTCTCAACACAGACTGACAGTGATGATGACAGAGCAAAACCCCATTAACCCAGCCTCAGCACCGTGAGGCTTGTAGAGTTGTTTTGGAGGAAGGTGGCAGTTTGCCTTCACTGGGCTGTGCTCAGAGTCTCAACCAACAGGCAACACGCTTCTTTCTTTTTAAATACTTTTTTTATTGATTTCAGAGAGAAAGGCAGAGGGAGATAGAAACATCAATGATGAGCCCTAACCAGTTTGGCTCAGTGGATAGAGCGTCAGCCTGCGAACTCGAGTCCCAGGTTCAATTCAGGTCAAGGGCATGTGCCTTGGTTGCGAGCACATCCTAGTAGGGAGTGTGCAGGAGGCAGCTGATCAATGTTTCTCTCTCATCGATGTTTCTAACTCTCTATCCCTCTCCTTTCTTCTCTGTAAAAAAAAAAAAAAAAAAAATCAATAAAATATATTTTTTTAAAAAAAGAAAGAAACATCAATGATGAGAGAGAATCTCCAAGCCATGTGCCCTTAACTGGAATAGAACCTGGGACCCTTCCATCTGAAGGCCAATGCTCTATCCCAGTGGTCAGCAAACTCATGAGTCAACAGAGCCAAATTATCAACAGCACAACGATTTAAATTTCTTTGGAGAGCCAAATTGTTAAACTTAAGCTTCTTCTAACACCACTTCTTCAAAATAGACTCTCCTAGGCCCGTTGTATTTTGTGGAAGAGCCACATTCAAGGGGCCAAAGAGCCACATGTGGCTCGCTAGTCGCAGTTTGCCGACCACGGCTCTACCCATTGAGCCAAACCATCTAGGGCGGGGCACACGTTTCTGAGTTACCAGAACTCGCTCTCAGCCTCTCGGAAGCCTCAATTTTAAAGGAATCCATTGACATGGCGATCACATCACTTCGATCGTCAGAAGCGGGGGCTGCTCTCCTGTGCTGTCAATCATTGGCAGCGCGGTGTCCCCCCAGGAAAGGCGCCCCCAGTCCCTGTGCACATTAGGGAGGTTTGTGCCAGCTTCCCCATTGTCTGGGGGAGGGGAGCCTTGGGCCCGGAGGCCAGGCCTGGCCCCGGCCCAGCCACACGGGGTCCCAGCAGGGCCTGGATTGGGCCAGGTCTCCCCCGGGGCCGGGCTCTCCTCCCCAGCGCCCCACAGGCCACTCCGCCTCGGCTGGGGCAGGTCCCCAGGCCCCACTGTTCTCTCTGCTTGTCGCCTGGCCTGCTCTCTGCCCTCTGGGGCAAGGCCTGCCTGCTCCCCGCGCCCCTCCCTGCCCTCCCCCCCCCCCATTCACCTCCCTGTTCATTTCTGTTTCCAGTGCAATGTGCCACCCCAAGCCCTCCCACCTCCCCTGCCTCCCCAACTTCACCAGCCAACCCCCTCTCGTCTGAATCCCCACGGGGCGCCGACAGCAGCCATGCCATGCGGGTCTGAGCGCGGACGTAAGCACTTTTCTACTGTATTTCCTCCGCCCCAGGGAGGGGGACCCCTGCCCTCACCCCCATTGAGCCATCTGCTCCCTCTCATTCTGGCATTGCTTCTGCCCTCCGCCCAGTGCCTGGTCGCTCCCCCCACCCCCACCCCCACCCCTCTGCTTGAGCCCGGTGTCCCCTCGTGGGGTTCCGATGCCCCGTGCTGGACGGGGGCCGGCGGGCAGGGCGGCTGCTTGGAGCTGCAACGCCAATGCCATGGGCTTTGCTTCTCCGGAAGCAGATGGAACAGAGCTGAGGCCTCCCGTGTCCACTGTCCCCAGAGGGCTTCCCGGACACCCTCCCCTGTAGCTCCCCAGACACCCTCCCCAGTAGCTCCCCAGACACCCTCCCCAGTAGCTCCTCAGACACTCTCCCCAGTAGCTCCTGTAACAAACAGCCTCAGGAGCCCCCAGGAGCCGTTTCCCCAGATCTTCCTTATCCCAGACCTCACTGCAAGTGACAGCAACGCCAGGCTCTGTAGCCACAGGCTGTGCCCGTCCTTCCCCCCAGCACAGGGCGCTCGGGGCCAGGCAAGCAGAGGGCACGTGACTGCGGTCTGTTTCTCTCTCTCGGGGTCTGACCAGTCTGGCTCCTGGGTAAGTGTCTGGAGCCTGCTCTGTTTGCCCCTTTCTCACCGATGTCCCTTTTCTCCAGTGCGAGCCCTGGCCACCGCCGCGAAGCTCCCCAGAGCCACCTTCTGAAGCCCTGCCCGCGGGGCCCCGGCCCGCCCCGCCCCGCCCCGCGCTCTCCTGGGGAAACTGCGAGGAGCCAGGCTGAGGACCGGGATGCTGCCAGAGGAGCGGAGCGCGGATGCTTCAGCCCCGAAGCCCTCGCTGCTCAGATGCGGTCCCTCCGGTCCTGAGATGGAGCGGGAAGCATCCTGTCCGATGCCCGAGTCACAGGGCGCCCAGGCCTGACTGGCTGGGGTGGGGCTGGCCCTCCTGGAACATTCCCGGATGGAGAAGACAGACGCCTGGGGAAGATGCTCTGGACCATCTTAGGTTGGGACGAGAGGTGAGGAGCAGAGGGACGCTCTGCCTCTTGCCACCCTCCTTGACACCAAGGACAGCATCTGCCATCATCCCCTTCCCATCAGCACCCCCACCCCACGGCCCCCGCTGTGCCCGGGGCTGTGATCCCTGCCGTGGGTGCTCCTTTGCGGACCCGTGGAGACTAACCACCCTGTCCGAGCCAAAGACAAGATGACGAGATGGGGACTCGCCTTGGCTCCCCGGAGACAGAGCAGGCTGGGACAGAGAGCAGGTCTGGGCGGTGTGTGGGGAGGTTGGGAAGGGGGAGGAGAAGGAAGGAGGCCCTAGGAGAGGAAGGGAGAGAAGCAGCAGGGCTCATTGGCAAGTGAAAGGACAGAGACGGAGGGAGGAGGGGAAGGGAATGGGTTTCCGGGGTGAGGCTTAGCGTGGTGCCAAGTACTGTGCCCACTGTCGGCTCGGCCCTTCCACCTTGTCCCCAGGCCGATGCGGAGGCCCCAGGAGGCCCCACCGGTGAGCAGACGGTGGCCTTCAGCTGACGTGCTTGGCATGGAGGCGGGGCGGGGCGGGGGGGGGGCGGGGATGAGGGCGCTGGGTAGGCCAGTCCAGGACACACCGGGCCCTTTGTAGGCCTGGGCCTGGTGTCTGCCGCCGGTTCTGAGCTCGGGGCAGAGGAGGAGCTGTCTTGTGTGGTCAGCCTTGGGGCCTCTCCTGGCCATTTTGGTGGCATTCTCTGGCATGTGCTGTGGGCCAGCTGCCAGGGTGCCCGGGGAGAGGCAATAAGCTTTCCCTGGGAGGCCAGATGCCAGGACCCTGCCACCCACCCGCCCCCAGCCCCAGGCCCCCCAAACGAGGACCTGTGGAGGGTGTACCAAGGACTCTGATCCACATGATAGGAGGCCAGTGCGGGAGAGACAGAAGCAAACTCATTCTTCCTCTTCTCCGCCCGCCATGAGATGAATGTAGCCAGGAGGAGGGAGAGGAGAGAGTGCGGCTCAACAGTCTGGCTCCTAGGCCTTCTCTCGGCCAGAGTTGCTGCCTGAGACGCCAGCCTGATCTCCAGCTGCCCTAAGAACAACTACCTTACCTCCCACCCACTCTTCCCTCCTTCACGGCTGGGCTGTGGCAGTTGCTGGTTCATATGCAAGTAAAGGTGACAGTTCATTCAACAAACATTTACTACCGAGCACCATTTATGTCCTAGGCACTGTCCTAGGTGCTTAGGAAGTTGCTTCTGAGGGATTGCAGACTGGGGCAGGTTCCACGTGTCTTCACTCGTGGCAGGTTTTTGGCTACATTTCCCGTCTGTAGCGCAGCTTGAGCACCCCAAATGTCCTTTCTCCCCCCTCCCCCCGCAGCCTGGCAGGTGGGGTTGGCTCCCAGCTCTTCCTCGTTCCCGCCCCTTTCTCCATCCACGAGACACAGGTTTTTCAGGGCCTTCCATGCCTTCCCCTTCCTTTATCTGTCTCTCCATTTTTTAAAGTGATATTTTTAAGAAATACATGGAAAATACCAAGGATCAATGTCTGCTCGTCTGTCACCTCCTGTTCCATAAAGCTGGCCCTTTATGTTGCTTTACATGCCTTAATATATGTTTTACGAAGATGACACGCATTGTAGGTGTATGTGTCAGATACGTGCTGGTTTGCGTGTCGGGTCCTTTCCCGGAACGCCTGCCCAGGCTGCCTTCTCTCCTTGGCTCTCCGCAACGTTCCCAGCATGCTGCGGCCGCACCCCATGCCTTGGATCCAAAGAAGGGGAGAGAAAGGCTTATTTTAAGACAGATCTATTTTACGCTTTTGTTATGAAAGCAAATCTATTTTCCAATGTGCAATGCCCAAATGGAATTGGCCACGGGGGAGACCCGGGAGGCTGCCTCCAGGTCCGGCCTCCACCCCGCCCCCCTGCCCCGGCTGCTCCCTTCCGCCCACCGCCCGGTCTGCGGAGGGCTGGTCCAGCCGAGGGCATCTCCCCAAGGCAGGGCGTGCTCTCAGAAGTCCTGGTGGAAGGACGTGGTCACGCTGCCCGCTCTTGATGACCCTCTAGGGTTCTCGGGGATGAGTCCTGTGGAAGAAAGCATTGAAGTGTGTGCACATGAGCGCCCCACGCAGGCACCGCCCAGAGATGTGCTCCCCGCCTCCCTCCATCACCTGCTTCGGGGTGGGGGACAGGCAGTTTCGTGGCCGCCGGTGCCACACACGAATGTCAGTCTGTACCTTGACGGACCCAGGGTATGGTGCAAAGGCCAAAGGAAATGGTTTGGGATTCCCTGGTCCTTTGGCGCAGACGAGTTTGAGTTCCCTGGACTTCCCATGCTCCTTTTCACGTGGCCGCTGCTCTGAGTCGTGCCGGTGGCATCTGTTTCACTCTGTGACCTTCCTTCTGGGGGCTGTTCCTGCGGGCCTGGCACCTCGGTCTGGCATCCAGACTGCGGAGTCCGCTCCTGGGCTGAGGAGGGTCCCTCGGACATTGTAGCATCTCAGCCTTCCAAATGGCTTGTCCCTGGAAGTGGGCCCAGGGCTCTTGCTTTGTACAGACCTGGGCAGGAGGGGCGTCTTTGGTCCAGATCTGGAATCTGGGGGATTGGAACCTCTTGCAGAGCTCCCGGCCAGCATCGGAAGCCTGACCTCCCAACGTGGCCACCTGCCGGCCCCTGCTGCCAGCCCCGAGCATCATGCTGCGGATGGATGGGGCCCAGATGGAGGCCAGGGCTGAAAACCCACCAGGGTACACTCCTGGTCACTGATCTAGAGCCTTCCCAATGAGCACATGACCTCCCCGACCAATAACCGGGAGGCTGCCATCAAATATTGCTACTGTCACTTTAAAGGTTTTCTGAGGTTGCAAGCTGTGCACATTTTTCTGCCTTGGCAAGAGGCATGTTCTCGGGGCGCGGCTGACTATAGCAAGAAGAACCCAATTCCTTTCCCCTTTAGGCAGCCCCACCTGGAAGCTCTTAAAACTAAGGGAAAAAATGAAATACATACCTATATATATATATACATATATATATATATATATATATATATATATATATATATATATATATACATATATCTATTTATGCACATATTGGGGCCAATCTGATTTGCTAGTAGTAGACAATAAACTGTACAAGGAAATGTCTGATCTCAGTGTCTTTATTTAGCATAAAAGTGGCCTTAGAAGAAGAGTTCAGGTTAGATAAGCAAACAGCATTGCTGCCAGGGGACCGGCCGCTGTAGCAGCCCCTGAGCCTCTTTCTAGCTGAAGCCCCTCCCGGGGAGAGGGCGCCTGCCCGAGAAGCTAAAGTTGGGGTCCGCTCTCAGCAGCCGGAGAGTCCCCATGCGTGAGCTCTGCATTTGTATATTGCAAGTTTGTATAAAGCCAGCACCGGAAATAAAATGGTTTGTACAAGTGGTGCGTGCGTGCGTGTCTTGCCCTCTGTGTCCGTGTCTGCCTGCGGCTGGCCTCAGGGTTCATGGCCATTGACGGTGTGTCTGGGGCCAGGCCTTTCCGAAGAGCAGAGCGGGTTCAAGCACATGGACTGCCACCTCAAGCTGCATCTCCCCCTCCCTCCCTCCCGGGCAGCTATCCCCGAGTTCTCGAAAGAGTGCCACCGCCCTGCGCCCGGGGAGGCTGCTATGCTGCCAGCACCACAGTCACCGTTTTGGCTCAGGGGACCCCAGCTCAAGGCTTGTGCCAAGGTCTGTGCACCAGGAGCATCAGATGCTCCAGGCCCTGGAACCTCTCATCCTGTTTGGGTCTGAGACGGAGGGTAGGACTGTAGGAGACACTCTCAGCCTTTCTTGGTGACCACAGAGTGCCCTGTGTTTCTGCTGTAAGGGACAAGAAGGCGTATGATCGGGAGGAGACGGGTGTTATCAGAAAGGCCACTCAAATGCTTTGCATCCAGCCTCAATGCCTTTGGTCCATTTCTCTTGGTTATCGGTTATTGGCACTTGGTGTGAAAGACTGAACTAAAGCCTTTCAATTGGAATCTTTCTGTGAACAATAGGAGTCAAGAAGCCCTGTAAATTCTTTATATATATTGATTTATTACAGAGTGGAAGGTAGAGTGATAGAGAATTAGAAACATCAATGAGAGAGAAAGAAACATGGATCAGCTGCCTCCTGCACACCCCCTTCTGGGGATGTGCCCGTAACCAAGATACATGCCTTTGACCGGAATCGAACCTGGGACCTTTCAGTCCGCAGGCCGACAGTCTATCCACTGAGCCAAACCAGTTTCGGCCCTGTAAATTCTTTCATCTCAGTTTCCTTAACTGTGATATTGGGGGCGGGGGGGGGGGGGGGGGGGTTAGGGAGAAAATAGGAACCCAGGACTGTGGCCGGCCGAGCTGGAGTAAAGCAGGATACCTGGGGAGAGAGGGTGGTGTGGGTGGTTCTGGGAAGAGAAAAAAACAGAGAGGAGGTGGGAAGGCGAGTGTCCTCTAATTGCCGTTGTTGCCCTGGGCTGGTTCTAATGGCTGATTTTGAATCCTGGACGTCTGTCCTGGTCCCTAAAGGGCCAGTAGGGTAAGTACAAATAAGGTGACTATTTGGGGGACTTTGTAACATCCCGGGAAGCACGACAGATCCTGATATCCTTTGTGAATCGGGGAGAATTGGGACCAGATGTCGGCTCAAGACAGAGGCCGTGGGGCTGGGAAGGTGTCATGGAGAACTTGTCTGTTTCAGGGCTGCCTCTGTGTCTGCAGCCCACCCAGGCCGGAGCCTGCGGCTTGGAGAGGAGGAGGCATGTGGGAGCACCATGGGCATCACTGTACCCATGATCAAGGCCGGTTCCTCTCCGGGAATGATGCCACAGGTCCCTGTCTGCCCCACTGGATTCGGGGCCCACGCAGCCCTGATAGAGCCAGGCTGGGGCTGGCAAGCAGAGCAGCCACTAGCAATAGGCCTTCCAGAGCGGGGCTCTGACTGCGGCCATTCATTCCTAAAGGGGGCGTGTCCGTGCCAGGAAGGAGCCAGGCTTCTGACCTGCTGCCGCTGGAACCGGGAACCGGGCCACCCACACCTACCACCCTGAGCCTCCGGAGAAGAACTGGCACCACGTTGCTGAGACGGATCCCAGAAAAGATGATGTCAGGCTCATCCCCTCCTCGGCTCCTTGCAGCGCCATGAAGACGTGCACAAGTCACTACACCCTTGCGTCTCAGTCTCCTCACCTGTGATATGTTAATGCCATCTTATAGAGCCTTCGGGAAAACCCAATGAGAAAATGGAAGAAAAACACTTTGAAAGTTCGAACGCACCCGGCCGGTGTGGTTCAGTGGTTGAGCATCTACCTCTGAACCAGGAAGTCACGGCTCCATTCCCGGTCAGCACCCATGCCCAGGTGGTGGGTTCAATCCCCAGTGTGGGGCGTGCAGGAGACAACCAACCCATTAATGATTCTCTCTTATCATTGATGTTTCTGTCCCTTCCTCTCTGAAATCAATAAAAGATATATATATATATTAAGAAATAAGTTTGAGCCGAAACCGGTTTGGCTCAGTGGATAGAGCATCGGTCTGCGGACTGAAGGGTACCGGGTTTGATTCCGGTCAAGAGCATGTATCTTGGTTGCAGGCACATCCCCAGTAGGGGGTGTGCAAGAGGCAGCTGATTGATGTCTCTCTCATTGATGTTTCTAACTCTCTATCCCTCTCTCTTTCTCTCTGTGAAAAATCAATAAAATATATTTTTTAAAAATAAAAAATAAGTTTGAATTCACTTACAAATGTCAGAGGTGAAGGTGCTGCTGTGGAGCTTGCTCAGCTGCCTGTGGGGATGAGGGGAGAGGGAGGATGTCTCCTGAGGTCTCCCCTTTGCTGAGAGATGCCACCAGGGCTCCATTCAGCCCTCCTTCCCCTGTCCAGTTCAACACCTCCAGCCCCGGGGCCCAGGGCACTCCCCCAGGCCTTGACCACATCTGGTCAAGGTTGAGGGCCAGCCCCAGCCTTCCAGGGCCCACATCCTCCTCCCAGGGGTTGCCCACTATGGAGAGCAGCTATAGTGTTTGGACAGGTTCAAGACTCGGACTGATGAGAGGGCACAGTCCTCTCACGGCCACATGCAAGTCCCAGCTTGGAGGGCAGAGCCCTCCCAGCACAAAGAGCTAGAGTTGTAAGTTTGAACCTATGGTCAGAACATGTGGCCCCACGTGCCTGAGTGATAGAGGCTGCAAGTAAACAAAGCTTGATCAGGTGCATGTAGTTGAGTAGGATCAAAACCCCCGGGAATGTTGTAAACATCTTAACAATGCCTTTACTTTGTCTTTATAAAATAAAGACACGGCTGTTGGGCGCTGTCACTGTCTCTCCATCAGAGAAGCAGTGCCCACCCAGACCCAGCTTTCATCCTCTTGTCTGTCTTTTCTCCATCCTTCACCGCCCCCGCTCAGGTTCACCCTTGGCCGAGGGTGGGCAGTGGGCAACCACTCTGGGCCCCTCTCCAGTGCCCAGTGCTGCCATCTGAGAGTCGGGCCAGGAGGGCCCAGGTCCAGGAGAGTTCGTTCCGAGTTCACAGGTGAGCTCCATGGCGGGGAAAGAATTCCACTCTGCTGTTTTGCTCACTTGCTTGGGAGCAGTTTAGAACCACAGTTCAGATGAGAGAAGTCTTCCGTGCACTAAAAGCAGAAACATTAATGACAATAGTAATTGTTATAACTATGTGAGGAGACTAATAACAGTGACTCCTGAAAGTGTGTGCTGTGTGCCAGTGCCCAGTTCTCTGCCCATGGCATGAGTTAACTCACTGATCCTCGTTATACTCTGTGTGAAAGGCACTGTCAGTACCCAAGGACCTGGGGCACAGAAAGGACACAAAATGCCCAGGGACCTACAATGAGGCCGGGGCGCTCGAAGCGCTTAACTTACCAGTGTTTTTTTTTTTCTTTTTAAAAATATACTAGAGGCCTAGTGCTTGAAATTCATGCACAGGTAGAGTTCTTAGACCTGGCAGGCAATCAGGGCCAACTGGGGCCCTCCAGGGCCTTCTGTCCCTGGCTGCCAGTTACTGGCCAGGGCCTTCCTTCGTTCCGTGCCACCCCTGGTGGTCAGCAGTGCACATCATAGCGAGTGGTCCAACTCCTGGTCAGTTGAACTCCCAAGGGGACAATTTACATATTAGCCTTTTATTATATAGGATTGATTTCAGAGAGGAAGGGAGAGAGAGCAAGAGAGAGAAACATCAATGATGAGAGAGAATCATTGATTAGCTGCCTCCTGCACACCCCACAGAGGGGATCAAGCCCACAACTGGGGCCTATGCCCTTGGCCAGAATCAAACTTGAGACCCTTCAGTCCGCAGGCCAACGCTCTATCCACTGAGCCAAACCGGCTAGGGCAACTTACCAGTGGTTTCAATGAGGGTGGCACCTCCTGGAAATTGGGAGAGGGGGTACTAAGGGGACAAAACTCTTGCTGGCGTTCAGTGGCGACAATGCACAGGGCATCTCCACACTAAGTCCTGGTGCTGCACACCTTTATCCCGCGCAGGGGGGCTACACAGCTTCCGTAGGAGTCGTGCCATTCAGAACGGTACTGAGAAGTTTTTATAAGCCTCTATGTTTTTTGTAAGCTTCGTGAATAACTCGATAAGGTAGGAGATGGTTATTAAGAAATAAAGACGCTGTCTCAAAATTATTGAATGATCTACTGCCTGCAATGTCTGTGCAATACGTTATAACGTTTCAGCTTGTATGTTTGGTTGAAAATGAGTCCAATGCAGGAGGGTCTTGCTGAATAAGTAGACACTGAATGTAACATAAACATTTAACAGAGGAGATCTGAGAGAACCAAACCGCGTTAAAGCAAAGATACTTGAAATGCGGGGGCTCTCTGGATCTCTTGAGTAACTGTTTTTCCAAGTTATTTCCTATTTTCGCTGACCTTTATATTTTTTAAGGGTTTGCAGCCCAGGGGTGCACACCTGTGCTGTCAGGGTTACCTGTGGAGCAGTTTTGGGGCGTTGCCTGTGGTGTTTTATCTTTCTCTCATGCTGTACCAGGCTCCACATGCAGTTGCTTTGAACCACTTAGCTCACCATTTCTCTTTCCAATCCATCCTCTATTCCCATTGCCTATCAGAGATATATGCGCTCCAGGACCTTTAAGATCCTCCAAATGGAATTTTCCCCCTCCCCACGGTGGCATTTCAGTTCGGAGATGTGTGTCTGCGATACGCCACCATTTCCCCATTCCGTGCCGTGGGGTAGGGACCGAGGACAGCGCCTGTGCATTCACGCTGCTTCCTGTGGCCACCCCTAACTTGCCTTGCTTTCTCCTCCCTACTGAATTATATATTTTTAATTGATTTTTTTTTACAGAGAGAAAGAGAGAGAGAGAGTTAGAAACATCAATGAGAGAAAATTGATCAGCCGCCTTCTGCACACCCCCCACTGGGGATGTGCCCGCAACCAAGGTACATGCCCTTGACCGGAATCAAACCAGGGACCCCTCAGTCCGCAGGCCGACGCTCTATCCCCTGAGCCAAACCGGTTTCGGCTCCTCCCTGTTGAATTTAGGTTATAACCCCTCTTTCTCTTTTTATGTGCACGTACATCCGGTCTGTTCTTACCCACCTAGCTTTCATTCTTATTCTAGTATTTACTCCCTATTACTCTTGTGGGTTTGTTTTCAATTACACAATGGCTCTAGTCTTCTATTTCTTATAAATTCAAATCTATTTATAAGTAGGTGCAAGTAATCTGCCTATGCCATTTATGTCTTCTGGTAAGTCTCACCTGTGCATTTGTATATTGAGAGCCATGGTGTTTGATTACACATTATTTTTCTCTGTTATAACTAGCTTTATTTGTATGAGTGATGTATGTAGATTAGCCATGTCACCTATGAACTTCATTTCAGGGTGGAGGGGACATTATAACAGGGATGCTGGCTCTCATGGGGCTGAGGACCACGGCCCTACAAGGGGAGGAAGGAGTTTGGAAAGATCCCCCCCACCTCTCTCTTCAGGCTCAGGGAAAGGAAGGGACACACCCATGTCTGCTCACCTGCTGGAACCAGGCTTCCTCGACAGCCCAGCCCTCCCCCAAGGCCAAATTCACCTTTTATCTGCCCTAGCTCAACCCCACAGGTCAAAGCTGGGGAAGAGGAGGCGGAGCCCTTGTGTGTGGAACACGGCCTGGCACTCCCAGGAGATCAGCAGCAACAGGTTTTATTCAGTTGCTTGGCGCCCCCTAGGGCAGAGCCCGGGTACTAGCGCAAAAGAAGCAAACTACACAAGATGAATTTCGTGGCTTTTCCAAAGGAAACAGATTCCAACTCTTCCCACACACGCTCCAAATCCCGTCAGGAGCCTGGGTGCGCCTCGATCTCCGTTCTTTATGTGAAGTCCACATGGTGAGGAGGAGCGGAAAGCACTGAACTTGACCTGAAGGCAGGGAGGGCGGAGGAGAGGGGACCATAGAAGGCAGGTGGGATATGAAATGCTCCAGGGGGCCAGCACCTGGAGGGTCAGTGCCACCTGGGAGGAGGCAGAGGAAGGGAGCCTGTGACTTTCAACAGTCATTTGTGTGTGTGAGTGTGTGTGTGTGTGTGTGTGTGTGTGAGTGTGAGTGCGAAGGAAGTTAATGATTTACCGGAGGCTCCTTTCACAACTTACCAAGGGTCAGCTTCCCTCGAGCATGTACCAGCTCGGATCTCTGTTCTCCTCGCCCCGGCTGGCGTGAACCTGGGAGGCCCCCCAGGCAGCCTGCAGCATGATCTCCATCACCGAATGGCAGAGTGAGTGTGCAGGGCCCTGTGGTGGGGGGCAGGGCTGGAGCGGGGTGTCGAGGTGAGGTGGGGGCCGCGCTGCCCCTCCCAGCGGGGATCTCTCTGTGGGAAGTCTGTGCCGAGGTGACCTCTGGAGCCATGGCCCGGAGCTGCCGTGTTGGCATCCTCGCAGCAGGTGTGGCTCCTCGGCCTGCCAGGACTGCGGGCTGGCTCGAGGCCTCCAGGAAGCCAGAGGCTGGTGTTGGGGGAACTGGCAGGTTCCACTCGGGGCCCTTAAACCCGGGGTGCTGCCAAAGGTGCGCCCAGGAGGCCGTTGCCCATTCAGACATCTTTCCCCTAAAACTCTCCTAGGGTCGCCTATGGCCCCGGGTCCCTTCCTCCCAGGAAATAAACTCAATGCTGTTCCCATATCACCATATCCTCTCTCGCTCCTAAACCCTCTCCCCTCGCTTTGGAGCAGGCAGTGAACTAGTCTGCAGGTTGGGGGTGGGGGGTGAGGGTGGGGGGCGGGGGGAGGGATGGCTCCGTTGATAGATGAAATAGGGAAGGACCAGAGACCAGAATGGCAAGACACAGGCTTTATTAGAGGGAAGAGTACCCCTGCTGGCTGCTTCCATGGAGAGGGGCAGAAGAGAGCGAGGGCCGGGGTACAAGCACCTTTAAGGATAGGGGACTCAGCACACGCTGATTGGTGATTAGGGACTAGGGACTTAGGAATGGGGGCTTAGGGTATTTGGCAGGTGCTGATTGGTGGTTCAGTGCTCAGGTATGTCTGGCTGTAGGTGGGGTTTACATCTGTCCATCCACTGGAGCAGGCGTCCTCAAACTTTTTAAAGTGGGGGCCAGATCACGGTCCCTCAGAGAGCTGGAGGACCGGACTATATGAACTACTAATTCCTACTGTAACACCTCGGCTGCGCTCACTGCCCAAAAACCCTGGCGGGCCGGATCAGACTCCTCTGCGGGCCGCATGTGGCCCTCGGGCCGTAGTTTGAAGACGCCTGCACTGGAGGGAGGGAGGATCTATCATCTGTGAGTTCCATTTGGGGGAGTTCCTTGGCGCCTCGGAGCCCCAGAGCCTCCTCGGTGATCTGGCGGTAACACTCATTCCCCGCTGAGCAAATGTGTGCCGGACGTGGAGTATACAGCGGCAAATGGACATAGAACCCCCACTTACCGGCTAGAGTGGGGTTACAGGAGCTGGTGGAGGAGGCCGAGCAGCGACCTGGTGGGAAGGGACCGATGCTGGGTCTGTTTGGAGGGAACTGCAGAGAGGATTCCCCCACGGGTTGGGTACGGAGTGTGAAACAGAAACGTCAGGCGTGTGTTTAACCTGAGCAGCCGGAAGGCGTGAGTAGGGGGAAGCAGGCCCGTTGAGTTTGATGGGCTGGCATTGGGCACCCCGGTGGGAGGTCAAGGGGGTTGTCAGGTACGAGAGTCTGGGACCGAGAGAGGAATTTTGGAGTAGCCCACCTATAGAGGACATTTAAAGGCACAGGACTCTGCCTAAACCGGTTTGGCTCAGTGGATAGAGCATTGGCCTGCGGACTGAAAGGTCCTGGGTTTGATTCCGGTCAAGGGCATGTACCTTGGTTGCGGGCACATCCCCGGTAGGAGGTGTGTAAGAGGCAGCTGGTCGATGTTTCTCTCTCATTGATGTTTCTAGCTCTCTATCCCTCTCCCTTTCTCTCTGTAAAAAATCAATAAAATATATTTTTTTTAAAAAAAGAATGGAATTCTTAAAGGCACAGGGCTCTGTGAGTGAGATCATCTGTGAGATCATCTGGGCACACTTTCCCAGCCTCCCCACCACGGACATGTGAGGAGCAGGGTAATTCTTAGTTGTGGGCTCTGTCCTGGCCTTATCGGATTCTAGCAGCATCTCTGGCCTCTGCCCAGGATTACACTCACATTCCCAGCTGTGACCGTCAGAGATGTCCCCAGCCTGGCCGGGTGGCTCCGGTGGCCGGGTGCTCCGGTAGCTGGGCATCGTCCTGTTGGGGGTTCAATTCCCAGACAGGGCACGTATCCAGGTTGCAGGTTCGAGCAGTTGGGGCATGTATGGAAGGCAACTGATCAATGCCTCTCTCTCTCTCTCTCTCTCTCTCTCTCTCTCTCTCTCTCTCTCTCTCTCTCTCATCTATCTATCTATCTATCTCTTTCTCTCTCTTATCAATGGAAACATAACCTCAGGTGTGGATTTAAAAAAAAATGTCTCCAGACATTCCCAAATGTCCTCTGAGAAACAAAGCCATCCCTCCCGGTTGAGAACCACTGGTCTTAATATTTCAAAAACTATGGAGAGGAGAGGCCTGAGCCCAGTGTTAAGCCAACGTTTTATTAAAACGTGCTAAGTTGTATGAAGAACATGCAGAATTTTATGAAAGAAGGAAATGAGGGATCAGATTGAGGTCGGAACAGAATGGAGCAGGTCTCTCTGCGGGGCTGGCATTTGCGTGGAGACCTGAGGATGAGCATCGATGGGAGGACACTGCGTGGGCGCAGGCCCCAAGGCAGGAGGCTCGTCCTGGGAGCCAGGTGGGGTCGGCTAATGGCGGGCGAGGGGCGGGGCAGGAGGTGAAGCTGGTCTGGCAGTCCCGGGCCATGCCATGCAGGCTGTGGGCCCGGGAAATGGGTGTTTGGCTCAGCCCAGGGGGAAGTGGGGAATAGGATTGGATGTATGTTCTCTGAGACCCCTGGCCGCCGTATGGAGGAGGGAGGTGAGGGAGGCAGGAGTGAAGCAGAGACTAGCAGGAGGATGCTGGTGGGTCCAGAACGGACATGAGGGTGGCTTGGAATTTGGTAGTAAGAGTGGAGAGAAACAGCCTGGCTGGTGTGGCTTGGTTGGTCAGGCATCATTCTGTGCACCAAACATCAGGTCACTAGTTCAAATTCGGGTCAGGGCACATGCCCGGGTTTGGGGCTCCATCCCCAGTAGGGGGTGTGCAGCAGGCAACCAATCGATGATGTTTCTCTATCATTAATGTTTCTATCTCTCTATCCCTCTCCTTTCATCTCTCTCTCTCTCTCTCTCTCTCTCTCTCTCTCTCTCTCTCTCTCTCTCTCTCCCCCCCCCCCCCTCTCTCCCTCTCAATAAAACTTTTTTAAAAAGGGAGCAGTGACTGAGGGAGTAGTGAGGAGACTCAGTGATGGCTGCAAGCTGTCCATTGGGTGGTGGTGACATTTGTATTCATTTGGGGAAACCCGAAACAGGTGCAAATTTAAGGAAAGATCAGCAGCTTAGTTTGGACCTATTGAGTCCAACATGCCTTGAAGAGAGAAAACCATGCAGATTTGCTTCATAGGCAGTTAAACATGAGTTTGGAAGCTCAAACTCTTTATTTATTTACTTACTTATTTGGGCTAAATAAATAATACTAAATGTAATACATTAAAGGCCAATACCAACATTGTCAGCACACCAGTGATATTTACAGACATTGGGACTGTGTGAGAAAAGAAAATGAGACTTGAACTTGAGCCGAAGCCCTGAGCCATTAGAATCCCTGAACCAAGAGAGAGGAGTGGGAGGAGCTGGCCCAGGAGCCCGAAGAGGCGGGGTCAGACAGCAGGACGGAAACCCACAGCAGGCTCCCGCTGGGTCAGCAGAAAGGCCACTTCCAGGAGGGAGGAGTAGCCAACTGCTGAGGTGAGAACCGACACCTGAGCCTTGGGGTTGGGAACGTGGACACCACAGATGGCCAAGGCAAGAACGGCTTCTTTGGAGGAGACCTGAGGGTGGACAGGGGAGGAGGCGGATGGACTGGGTTGATGAAGCCGGTTTGGCTCAGTGGTACAGCGTCGGTCTGCGGACTGAAAGGTCCCAGGTTTGATTCCGGTCAGGGGCATGTACGTTGGTTGCGGGCACATCCCCAGTAGGGGGTGTGCAAGAGGCAGCTGGTCAATGTTTCTTTCTCATCGACGTTTCTAGCTCTCTATCTCTCTTCCTTCCTCTCTGTAAAAAAATCAATAAAAATAGCCGAAACCGGTTTGGCTCAGTGGTAGAGCATTGGTCTTTGGACTGAAAGGTCCCGGGTTCAATTCCAGTCAAGGGCATGTACATTGGTTGTGGGCACATCCCAGGTAGGGGCTGTGCAAGAGGCAGCTGGTCGATGTTTCTCTCTCATCGACATTTCTAGCTCTCTATCTCTCTCCCTTCCTCCTCTCTGTAAAATATCAATAAAATATGTTTTTTAAAAATCAATAAAAATAAAAATTAAATTAATAAAATAAAAAAAGGCCAAACGCCAGACTCCTGGGATCAGACCCTAGTCTGCCAGCTGCCCAGCTGCTGGGCGCCCTGGGCCAGTGACATCATCTCTGAGTGTCTCCGTTCTGAGTGTGAAGTGTGGCTGACAGCGCCCCTCCCACACAGCCAGCTTTGAAAATTTGGTGAGTTCATGAGACTTAAAGTGCTTAGCCCCGTGGTCGGCAAACTACAGCTCTCGAGCCACATGCAGCTCATTGGCCCCTTGAGTGTGGCTCTTCCACAAAATACCACGGCCTGGGCGAGTCTATTTGGAAGTTGTGGCGTTAGAAGAAGTTTAAGGTTAAAAAAATTGGCTCTCCAAAGAAATCTCAGCCGTTGTGCTGTTGACATTTGGCTCTGTGGACTGATGAGTTTGCCGACCACTGGCTTAGGCCGTGCCTGGCACCGTGTGCTGGTTAGTGTTGGCGGCTGTTACTATGAATCACTATTGGTCACTTTGAATAGCGAAGGAAGGCTCTTTCTCTCCCCATGTTCCTCCTTCCTCTTCCTGAACATTTCAGTCCTAAGGCCGTTCGGTAGGAAGGGAGGTGGTGTCCAGAGCAGGTGCCCGAGCCCTCGCCAGGTGGAAGGAGGCTCACCTGAGGTTGGCCTGGTGCCACGGCAGGGCACGGAGGGTATCCAGCAGCGTCAGGCAGAGGGTGGAGAGGAACTGAAGAGTGGAGGACCTGGCAGGCGCCACCTTAATCAAGGGCTTAAAGAAACATCATCTGCCCTGGCCAGGGTGGCTCAGTTGGTTGAG